TGCTTGAGTCGGATATTACGGCATTTTTGGAGAATCTAATTTGAGTTTTGAGTGTTCTAGTGGTTATCAAAATGTTCAGACGATTTTATTTTTAAGATGGAGCATGATCTGAGTCTGAAACTTATTGGGAATTTGGGTACAGTATTTTGCAGTAGTCTAACAATTTAAAAGGTGAATGTATGCTTGAGTCGGATATTACGGCATTTTTGGAGAATCTAATTTGAGTTTCAAGTGTTCTAGTGGTTACCAAAATGTTCAGACAATTTTATCTTTAAAACAAAGCATGATTTGAGGTTGAAACTTTGTGAAAACTAGAAGATCCGTAATTTGCAATAGCTAAAAAATTTTGAAGGTGAATGGATGCTTGAGTATGAAGTTACGGGATTTCTAGAGTTTTGACTTTGAGTTTCGAGTGTTCGAGTGACAACCAAATTCTTCAGAAAATTGTATCTTCAAGACGGAACATGATCTAATCTCAAAACTTTGTAGTAATTGGATAACTTTCCACACTGGTGCACACTACTAACATTAGTAGTGTGCACTAGTGTGGAAAGTTTGAAGGTGAATGGATGTTTGAGTCTAGAGCTACAAGATTTTTTGAGTTTTGACTTTGACTTTTGAGTGTTCGAGTGGTACCGAAATATCAAGTTGCTACAATATGGCTACTCAAGATGATATTTTTCAGCTTATGCAAACTATCTTCAAAGAATTGAAGTAACTTTGACATGAATTCAAGATGCAAGCGGTTGCTTTAACTCTTGCACACAATAAAATTTGAGAGCCAAAGGGATTACAAAAGGATGTGGAGAAGGTGTTCAAGAACATTGTGTCAATGATGTTCAACATGTCTAAATTTGTTCACGATATCCAAGGAAATGTATGCTCTCAAATGACAAGTGCAAATAGCTCGGAGAAAAGGGTTGTAGATGATAAAATGTTATGCTGGAAACACGCGGAAGGGCTCTCTGCAAGTTATAGTAACTCTAGATTGCATGAGGTGGTCGAAATCTTAGATTTGAAAATGAAATCCTACGCTGAAGCTACAAAGGCTGCTCAAATCTCTTTTTATCAAGAACAAGAGATTGAAAAGTCTAATCAGTTCGCGGATATGAAGAATGTGATAATTTTAAGTTTACCTGAAATAGAGAATGAAGATGTCAAGAGTGTTGTCACCAAGTTTCAGGATGAAAAACTTCATGTTTCCAATCTGGAATTGGCTTTAGCTTTTTTTATTGAAAACAAGGGAGCTCAACCTCGTGATATTATAGTGAAGTTTGTCAATCAAATTCAACATGATGTTGCTTTAGCGAACAAGGTTATTGTCAAGGGACGTAGAATATGGTAGAATCCTAATCTGACTCCACTTCAAGTGAAAGTTAGGAGAAAGTAGCTTACGAAGGTAAAAGAATCTCAAGAGTCGGATTTTGTTGCTTATTTACATGATGGAAGAACAATTGTTACTTAGAAGAGGAGGATGTCGTTAACATAGCAATCCGAGAAACTAAGTATATTGATGTGGAAGATCCGAGTACTTTCAACAACAAAGTATGTGAGTGCTGCTCTGATTTGGAAGATTGTTGACGTCATCAATATTGTGGAGATTTAGTAACATGAAAGCAATACTATTGCTGAGTTGGAAGGATTTACTTTGGTGGGATCGACATGGAATCAGATAAGACAACATGCAGGAAGGATTCAATAAGATATTGCTACTTTCATCTAGTCTCATATTCATTCTCTCATACATCTAGAAGCTGAAGATGTCGGTGCAAAGTATCATTGGATACGTATCGGTATGGTTGGAGTATCTTATTGCTATTTGGCAATTTTTTATTTTGCATCATTGTCTATGGGTATCAACTCAACACGCTTTTGCAACTGAAGTGAACCATTTCATCGGCTTATTGGAGAAGTTCTTAGCTTTCAAAGTAAATGGGATGTCTTTCTAGCTAGAGATTTCAATACTCGTATACATTGTGCTCAATTTAATCAATTTAATGATCCCTTGGTTTTTTCTATGTTAGAAGAAATTTATGATAGTTTGTGGTTTAGAAACTCTTTTGATACTTCCACAAATTTTTTGACAGAGCACTTTTTGACATTTGGAGCCACTTGTAACTTGAAGGTTCTTAATGGAAACTCTTGCTTCCCCAACTCTCAATCCAATACTTGTTTTTTCCCTCCCGACGCTATCACAATAGATTTTTTTTTGTCTTCCTTGGTTAATACATCTCTAATCTCTAGTGTTGACTTGATACTCAACTTGAATCAGACCATCCAACCCTTTTGTTTACACTTTCAATGTCAAAATCAATCTCTCTCCACCTTGCCAATCTCTTTTAGCTTCTCCCAAGTTTTGCTTAGATCCTTGTAAAAGAGACCTTTATGCAGAACAACTACAAGATCTTTTGACTCACACCTTATGGAGTCCAGATTCACATACCGCTAATTTACAACTCATAACATCGCTCAAAAATTCTACATCGAAGTTCTTTTTGAGTCATAGATCTAGGATCACTAAGGGTCTATCTTGTAATTGATGGTTTGACTTCGAATGCAAGCTAGCAAGGGCAAAGTCGGTTGATAGATCTTAGGATATTCAAAGTCAACTTCTTTTGACAATGAAATAAAAAGACTTGGTGAAGTCTATAAAACGAGCTTTCTTAAGACGGAAGCAAGAATCCTTGACAAACGACCTGATGAAGGATCCCAAGTACTTTTGAAGACAATTAGCTACACCATCGTCAAAACATTCTATTGATTCCGAGTCTTTGGTAGCTTTTGCCGAAAAGCTTTATTTTTTTCCTGAAGCTACATCTATGCCATATTGCGAAGCAACACTTTGATTATTTTTGAAATAAGAGATGATGACTATACTCCAAAAATTAACAAATAGCAAATGTGAGGATTTAGATGGTTTGTACATTGAACTTATCAAGTGGGGAGGAGATTGTATTGGACCTATTCTCACTAAGGTTTTGGAAGATGCTTTGGTTCATGGTTTTTCATCAACTTGGTTCATGCGGAAGATTGTTCGTATTCATATATCAGGAAGTAAGGACGTGGTGACAAACTATTGCAATATCATGGTTAGTAGTGTTTTTGCCAAGTTCTTTGGGGAGTTGGTAGAATCAAAGTTGAGCATATGGACAGAGGATTTTCAAAAGAGAGCAAAGGTCCAAGCTCGTTTCTGTCCTACATACAACACTATTGACCATATTTTGGCCTTACGTGTTTTATGAGAGAAATTGAAAGGCAATGATAAAGCTTTATTTTTTGCCTTCATCAATTTGAAGAAAGCTTTTGATATTGTTCCTTTGTAAGCTTTTATGGGAAAGACTACAAGACATTGGAATATCAACTAATCTTCTTGGAGCTGTGGCCACTTTATACAGTTCAGTTCGAGCTAAGATTGATGACTCTCAACCGCAAAAGATCTTGAGCACCATTGGAATTATTCAAGGTTGTACTCTCTCTCCTACTCTATTCGGAATTTTCATAGATGATATAGAAAGGTGATTGGATGATTGTGAGGATGAAGGAGTCAAACTTGGAGACTTTGTGATCAAATCTCTTCTGTATGCAAATGATATCATATTACTAGCACGTGATGCAATTAGTTTACAAAAACGCCTTGATACTGTACTCAAAACCAGATAGAGATCAATTTGGAAAAATCAAAGATCATTTTTGTGGGCATTAGATCTAAGTTCTCTCTCTTTTATAAAGGATTAGAATTGGATCAAGTTGAGAGTTACAAATATTTAAGCATTGATTTTTTTCACAATTATAAGTGGGCACTTTGTGTGCAAAAGAGAGTAAAAGCTGGTTACAAAATTGTAATTTCATTGTTAAACCGATGTAGAAGAGCTCATATAGTGTCTGAAAGTCTTAAGAATTTTTTTTAGGAGCTTAATGTTGCTTGTGGTTTTATATGAGACACAAGTGTGGAGTCCTAGCAGTAAGAAGACAGGTTGGGATTGTGTGGAGACGATGCAAAAGATCTTCTTACAAGAAGAATAAGGTGTAAGGAACCAAATTCCTTATGCTATTCATCCGGCGGAAACAGCTTGTCTAACTCTTGAGGCTAAAGCTGTCTACTTGATCATCACTTATATTAGAATAGTAGTATCTCTTGATGTTTCTCGACTTTCTCTTCGTGCTTTGCATGCCACACGTTCCAAGGGATGGTTTGCAGATGTAATGACTTGGTTTTTGATGTGGAATGTGACGGAACTGAATTGAGATCTGCAACCTATGGCCCTTTGCGAGCGTATTAAGGAAGACTTTCTCAACATCATTTGGAGCAGAAAAGTCACCAAAATGCATTTTTATCAACTTCATGTGAATCCTTTGCTTATTTATTGTGGGTAAGGATACCTTGTTGAAGATATATCTACATCTTTATGTCATATTATTGCTAGGGATAGAACAATATCTCATAGTCTTGGAATTGAGGAAGTACATTGGTTGAATATTGATTGCAGTGATGGATTTGTAGGCTATGTGATGGGAGAAATGTTGAGGATGAAAAGCATGTGTTTCTTACTTGTACTAGATATATAGAAATTAGAGTGGCTCATAAAATTGTTGCTTAGAATTTCTATTCTATTTCTATATTATTTCAGCTTGAGCCTTATTATTCAGTTTGTTACATAATGGATGTTATTAGTGCTCTTGGCACTAGCTAGAGGGTTCTTTTGGTTCTCTCCTATGTTGGAGTTGGATTATTTCTATTTGCAGTGAGCAGTAATCGAAGAGATAGAAGTCGGAGCTGCCTCGTCATGGTACCCAAAAGCTCCTCAAAATGATCTGGTCGAAAAGTGGAGACCTCAATGAAATAACTATAAAATGTTTCCCTCAACCACTCGAATGATACAGCGAAAAGGAAAGGTGGGGGTGGGGAGCACCAGGAGATCAACGAGGAAGGGAAGAAGAGGAACAAAAGAAAACTGGAGATTTCAAGAGATTTGTTAGGAAGGGAAAGGAAGGAAAGGGGTGATTAATACAAGGGCACCTTTAATAGAAAGAAAAGAAGGGAGGGCCGAGGGCTTCCCTAATCCCTGCGGCTGCAGCAGCACAGTCCTCGGGGCCAGAGAGAGCAGCAGGGGAACAGAAGAGGACGAAGGAAGCGCAGGCTTCGTTTCTTGAATCCATCAACCCACGAACGAATGAACGAGCGACCACGAGGCCCAAAGCCCAGCAGCAGGAGGCCCAAGCCCAAGCCCGGCACGGACCGCGACGCGACGAGGCAGCAGAGCTTGCCGAATTTGAAACAGTCAAAAATTCAAACCTACCCGCCGTCCTCTCTGCGTCTCCTCGGACGAGGAGCGACTTGCCCCCACGCTTGCCCCCGTCGACAAGCACCTCGAGGCGAGGACGAGACAGAGACAGAGAGAGGGATTGAAGGTTTATTGCTGGCAGCGGAGGCGAAGCGGGGCTTCGGCAGCGATTCGATCGGCGCCGTGGAGCAGGAGCAGGAGCTGCAGGTTGGTTCGCCGATGGCACGGACTAGGTGACAATGCCGCTGTACAGACGAGGGATTGAGTGATGCGCTGATTGGAACGAGGTCGAGCGAGCGAGCGAGCGAGGGCTTTGGGTTCTGACGAGGAGGCAGGTGTAGGTTTTTTGGTTGGGGCATTTGTGGCATTTGGGGTGTTTGGGGATTGGGGATTGAGGATTGTGGATTGCGGATAGAGGAGGATGAGACAGGTGTGGCGAGCGAATGTGGAAGGAGGCAGGAGTAGACTAGAGGTCGATTCGCTGGTCTCAGCGCGGAGAGCTTGATGACGGGCGAGGGAAACAGCGGAGAACGAATTCGGCGAAATGATGGGCGGTCCGCTCGCTAGTGTGCACGAACATTTAACATGTGCGCGGGAGTATGCGTTGCTGGGCAACTATGACACGGCCCTCATTTTTTTCGACGGAGTCATCGCGCAAATCAACAAGTCCGTCGCTGAACTCTTGTTTTCTCCTCATCTGTCCAGTTGTAGCCTGTCCGATGCCTTTGCTTCATTTCGCCTTTAATGGGGTCACTCATCGCTGTTCTCTCGGTTGTCGCCTGATCGAAGGATTATGAACTGAAACATGAAGGGGAATGTGAAGAAAAAATCGCATAGTTCGATCATCGCAACTCCTTGTACGATGTTAAATACCTGAGGCTTTGTATTCATCACGTGCCATACACTTGTCTCGTTTTCTCTTCCTTATTTTACATAGTTCTGCTATCATGGACTTAATGCCTTCTGAACTGGGGATTTTATGCCTTCATGTCCATACGTGCAATCATTTTGGTTTTTCTCCTACAAGAAATGCGTCACATTTCCAACTGTTCGTCTCTCAAGAATCAAATAATGGTCCATATTTGGCACTGGGCCTGGTTTTCTGTATTCTTGGCTAGTCTCTGATTTCAACCCTACACTAGTTACGGATTATCTAGGTGGTAAGGGCAATTTGGGAGTATCAAGGCCTTGCGCGTCATCTTTCTGTTTCATGAGTGATCTTGAGTTCCAGTTTTGTGTTCGCGTATCGGGGAATGTCTCATGGCGTTCTCTTGTCATGGTCCGCATCTGGTCTCCTCCGAAAACCTCGTTCATTTGTTTCTTAAAATTTTTCATTGTTGCGATGGGATGCTGCACTGCCTTCTCTGGTTCTCTGGTGTGATTGAACAAAGTGTGACGTTTCCACGCAAGGGTACAAAGAATGGTTTTCTACTCCCATCTAAAATCAGAACGACAGAATCTCGTCTATTCTCATAATGTAGCATGACAGTAGCATATCAAAAATTGCGATGGAAAGGAGACACGGCGGGTAATCGAATGGGAATGCAGACTAGTGGTCGTCACGGTATTAATCGGATTCGTTTGGAGTTGTTGAACCTCTCTTCTGATGTTGCATCGTCATAGATATTTCATGTGAGCATTCTCAGTCACAAACTTGGCAGCATCCTTTATGATCCAAGAACTTTCTTCTGTTTGTGATCACCAACAGGATATGCATTTTGACCTCATGCTTGCTCTCTTAACTTCTTCTTCTCGAATATTCTAAGTGGATCCTGAGCTTCTGTTCCTTGTGAATGTGTTGTCCTCTTTTCAGGCATTTGAACAGTGTCGATGATCCATACATTCGGTCCAAGTGGGTGAAATGCAAGAAGGATCTCTTTGAAGAGTTTGAAATTGTGAAGCATATTGATGCAGAAAGGCAGGGGTTTAAGGAGGCACCAGGTGCCACACCTCGCCCAGGCTCTCCCTTCCTTCCCCCTAAATCTTACCCTTCTGTAGATGAATACGGCTCTTATCCTCCTGTGGGTGGCCGGGATGACGGGTTTGAGGATCCAGATGTGTGGAGACCCCCTACACGTGAAGCTCCCCTTCAGTATGGAAGTAGACGGCCAACCAGGGCGGGTCAACTGGCAGCTGCTGCCCAAGCCAAGAAAATGGCTCAAGATGGGGAAAGGGTATCACCTTGGGTACGAGGGAAGGTAGAACCTAAGGGGGTAGTGAAGGGGACAAAAATTAGTAGCTCAGGACCCGCAGGCAAAGGACCCAGTGCAACCGGAACAGGAGCTGGACGCCCGGCATCTAAGGAGACAGCCCGGAAAAGCTCAGGTCGATCAACTCCCAGCAAGAGAGAATCTATGGTAATGTCTGGTTCGAACACATGGACTGCATTCCCCAGCGTGTTGATTTTGTGAGTTGGTTGCGTAGAGACGTAATGCCAAAGGGAGTCACCCTTGGAAATGATGCATCTTTTTGGCAGCAGCTCTCAGACAGTGTGTCTCCAAGCCCCAAAAGTCGTCCTCAAGTCACCCCCTGGAGACCGGGAGGGTGCATCCCAAGCCCTCTGCCATGGTGGCACAAAAATGGGAACTCTTGGCAAGATCCAGAGACCAATTATGGCCAGGCACCAAAGCATGGCCGTAGAGTTTTCGCAGATCAGAGACTCAAGCCTGGAAACTGTGACCTAGTTTTCCCAGAGGTTCTTAAATCAAGCGCCCTCTGCTTCACTGTGGAAGATGGCCAAATTTTTCCACCCTTGAAGGTGAAAGGCTTCCAGCCTACGTCTGGTTTTCCAGCGCCGGGTGCTTAGTAATTTCAAACTCTCAACATTCAGTCCCATGACTAAGAGAGGCAGAGAGTTCGATGTCTCTAAGAAATGCGTATAAACAATACGTATCACCTTCAGAGTTCGACATTACGGGATAATTTTACTCATTGGCTGCTCAGCTAGATTTTCGTTTCTTACATCTATGATTATGGGAATTACCGTTTCATGAAGTGAAGTGTGGCTCAGATGCTTTGCTTACAACATTGACAGTGCTCCCTAGAAGCAAAGTTTATGCCAGATAATATACGACTTCCTTGTAGCAGACTTATTTGTACCTGTCGACCAATGCAAGGATTGAATAATCAAGCAACTGTAAGAATCATCAGATCTGTCATGAATACAGTTGAAGCCTTGATCGGATTCTGATCATGAAAAAGTTGAACTTGATACAGTCAAGTGAAGATGAATCAAAGAAGGAGCGGAAGTTGAAGTATGAAGGCCCTGATCCAGATCTCGCTGCAATGTTAGAGAGAGATGTCCTGGAGACCAGTCCTGGCGTGCGATGGGAACACATTGCTGGCCTAACAGAGGCAAAACGTCTTCTAGAGGAAGCTGTCGTTCTGCCGTTGTGGATGCCTGAATATTTCCAGGTATTGATGCTATTTTTTTACAGATTGCGTGTCTTTCCTCTAGGACTTCCTCTCGTCTAAGTTTGTGGTGAGCAGTTTTTGTAACTAATTTGAAGGGTTCTGGTTACTCGCTGCTAATGAGGAATCTCAATCGAACTTAAGCAAAACAATGTTCTGAAGGCTCACTTGTAATTCCAAAAAACGGAGAATTAGCATCCATGTAAGGGTTTAACAGTCAAAAACCTTGTCTGTGGCTACCCTGAACATGCAGACGAATTTTTGAACATGTGTGAAAGGAGAGAGGGATCTGTCAGCATCTCTTACACTTGACGGCTAATTACTATGGGCTATTCTTATCTGGAATACAGGGCATTCGTCGACCATGGAAGGGTGTACTTATGTTTGGTCCGCCAGGAACTGGAAAGACCTTGTTGGCCAAAGCAGTTGCCACGGAATGTGGAACAACTTTTTTCAACGTCTCGTCAGCTACGTTGGCCTCCAAATGGAGGGGTGAGAGCGAACGTATGGTGCGGTGTTTGTTCGACTTAGCAAGAGCTTACGCTCCGAGCACTATCTTTATTGATGAGATTGATTCACTCTGCAATGCTCGTGGGTATGTACTGTATTTAGTGCAGTAAACTCAAGAAGCACTTTTGGCATTATTTCTTTCGTCTCATTGACATTCAGACGTATTTGGCCCATTCGTTTTCAGTTCAAATTCTTCTCAGTTTTGGAGCACTGGCCGTAGTTTGGATGAGTTGATTTTTTATTCATAAGCATTTTCCTTCCCAAGATCTTATGAAGTTGCGTTACCAAACGCATTTCTTCTTGTTTAATATGGTATAGTTTAGCGAATCCCTGGATCTCTTTTATTTGGGTCTACTTGTGGTTTGATTTTACTGAATTTCCATCTTCAAACTTGGATGATACTGATATATATGTATCTATATCTGAGACTAGGTATGTCTAGGCATGTAGTTATGGACGCTTCAATGATACTCAAGAGTGTACCGTTCGTATGCAGAGCGTCAGGAGAACACGAATCATCAAGAAGAGTAAAGTCGGAGCTTCTTGTACAGGTGGATGGTGTGAACAATATCACCACGGGTGAAGACGGTGACAAGAAAATCGTGATGGTTTTGGCAGCCACAAACTTCCCATGGGATCTGGATGAAGCTCTCCGGTATTTTCCTGTCAACCTCTTGCCCCCACCAATAACAGAAGATTGCTCTAGACCTATGAAATGCATAGTAGGACCTACACACGTCATCTATAGGTAATTTCATTGTGATCATGATTTGAGCGCAATGTGCTTGTCCAGGAGGAGATTGGAGAAGAGGATTTACATTCCTTTGCCGAACGAGGAGAGTAGGCGGGACCTTATCAAGATCAATCTGAAGGACGTCGATGTACGTATAAGAAAGATACTGCTTAGTAATTTCCGGTGAAGAATGATGATGTGAAACAGGCAAATGTTCACTTGAAATGGGAGGACATGTTATTGATGGTTTTTCTTCTTCTTTTTTTCTCGCGGGATTGGTACAGATAGCGAAGGATGTGGATATAGAGGAGCTTGCCAGACGTACAGAGGGTTATAGTGGTGATGATTTGACAAACATATGCAGAGATGCATCTATGAATGGGATGAGGCGCAAGATAGCAGGTAAAACACCCGATGAGATCAAGGGCATGACCAAAGATCAAATGTATGAGCCAGTTGCCATGCGAGACTTCGATGATGCCCTTGCCAAAATTTCACGCTCTGTCTCTACTGCTGATATTGAGCGCCATGAGAAATGGTTGGCAGAGTTTGGTTCTGCTTGATGTAGTCTTACTTTAAATTCTTCCCCCCCACAAGAGCAGAATAATGAAATGTTGTAACACTTTGTTGCTGGTTATCCCTGAAGTCTCTATGCTGGGTTATTGAGGTTTTTCTCTCTCCTCCCCAACTAAAGCGGGAAGTCTGGTGAGAAAATTCATGCCTAACCACTTTGCCCAATCATAACTTATAAAAGTTATATGCAAAGCAGTATGAAATAGAGGATCACTGCTCTGGAATAGTCGCGTACTATCTCTTTCACGCATGTTCATATGTGCAAAGGAGCTGCCTAGGTTGGACGCTATGTGAATCTCTCAACGACGTCAACTTTATACCCACTCTTTGGGCAGATTACACAACCTGATCATACAGTCAGGTTTCCATAAGCAGATCTACACTCCATTTAGTTCTGTACATTACCATTTTCATTTCTCGCTTTGAAGCTGGCCCCTCGACTATGCCTTGGAGTTAATAGAATAGTGTTATTTTTCTATCTAAGTTTGAATATCTGCGTCCCGGCCCATGATGGTATGTTGCGAACTTGAATGTGCTGGGAGTGTGGTCCAATTTCCAAACCGTAGAAGGAAGCCATTTTATCTACAGAAAATGTTTGGATCTGGAGTGTCACAACGTTGCAGTCTCATATTATTGTATGTATTTCATTATGTGCGCAATGCCAACTCAATTTCGATTGCTTGGAACGGAAGCAAGAGCTTTGCTGAAGCTAACTGATACATCGACTGCAATATCTGGAGTGCTTAAAGAGCCCGAAGAGCAGGGCCAGGGGTAGTGAGTTGGAGGCAGATTATGTGAAGAATTTATAAAAGACTCCCAGTTATTTGTGCCGTTTTCATTTACGGACACCTGAGAACGCACTTCTGTCGAATCGAAGCTAGGGAGAACTAGGTAATCCTATACAATTCTCGGGTACACGCAGACCGCCCGGTCCAACTTTGGGTTGAAGGTACTTATGGTACTAAAGACATACTTGCTTTTTTAATTTGTAGTGGAGTCCTAAGTGGCAATGAGATTTCAAAGCATCGTATGTGGGTTATTCCGGTTACCGAGAATTGTTCAAGACTTGGTTTCTTGATTTAGTCTTATTAGGGAATCATTTATGGGACCTGAGTTTGCTTATACAGCCATATTGCATGTTACCGTGCCTCTCTTGCTTGGGTGAGAACTTAATTAGTGTTTTCTTGTCGTCAGAGTTTATTGATATTGACTAGCCCTTATTATGAGCGGATAAACTGTGCAAATTGTCGAGGCTAACAGTCAGCTCTAATCGAAAGCTAGAATTTCCCACAAGACAGTTGATGATTCGACAAAACATTATTACTGACGAAGTTGAAAAAGCTGACGTAACTGTTCTTTACGAATCTCGTTCTGATGACCATCTCGCCACACGCTTACTGCATTGACAATCTTCGGAAGATGCTAATAATTCTCCAAAAAAGTTTCACACGTTATTTTGTCATGTGATCTGTTTCCATTCCCTTGCTCGAAACGTAAGTGAAGATCTGAGAGTGGGAATTCGTAGCAGCCTTGCTACGTTTGCGATCACACAATTTACGATCTATAAGAACATCTCGTATGTCAGCACACCGTTGATCCATGTTTTTGAAATCTTGGATTCATTCTCAAATAATTTATTTTTAAAAAATATATATCGAAATAAAACATTAATTTCTGAGTGTAAATGAGTTCATTAATATGCATAGATATTCTGACGAATTGACCGAGGATTAATATTGTAAAATGTATGTATCCGATCAACTATTTCTTCTATGTGTTTCTGTATACTCAAAATATCATGACATCTTTACGAGATAAAGAACAATCAATCAGTTCCAATACCAATAAAAGATGAATAAAATACGAAGCAAGAGAGCGTGTAGATGATATCATCTACACATTCCTTGTATCACATGAGTTTATTTTATTCACAACGTTCTAGTGTTCTCCGCAGCCATCAATTCGTTTTCCATGTAGCATCCTTTAATGATATGGAGGATACTCGAAAAATGCACATATTTAGCTCGCATGCATGGAGTGGATTTTAGCAAAATATTTGTTACCTTCAAAATGGATTTAAGTTTGTTACATGAATTCAACTAAATGTGACTTTAAATTATACAAATTCAAGATATGAGAATACAGATATTTATCATGAATAGATTTGTTATTGTGCACAATTGAAAGAATATTATTATGTGCGTACAAATGAAACTTTATGCGCGAAGAATTATGATAGAATCTTGTGAATATTTTTGAAAAAGTTCGTGAATTATATCACTCAACTTGAAAGCAAGCAAAAATTGAAGAAGCCTCATCAAGAATGCAACAGTCGATGACTTCATACAATTGAGTTGGACTTTGAAGACGTGAGAGATCACACATCTATTTCTTATGTGTGAAAAACAAATAACGTAATCTACACTTGCATGACTATAGTAGCATAATTTTGCGAGGACATTTGACACACACCAAATATGCTCTGATCAATATATGCATGTCAATAATATGATTAGATAGCAAAAATAATTATATATTTACATATTATTAAGATACAAGTAGAAGCGCAAATACTGAATGTCAAGGTGACAATATACGTACATCAATGTTCAGGTATAAAGAAAGTTTTGAGTCACAAATAGATGCACAATAAATTAGATATTTTCATGACAATGTAGTGAATAACGAAACTCATAATTATCGATCATGAAGCAACTATGGCATGCCTGATAATAATGTCGCCATCCTGCATTGATCTTGCCTGTGTACGACTGATGGTGGACTCGTGTCACATTGAAAGATGGCAAGTTAGTTTCTTCCTATCCACACTGAAAATCGAGTTTCGTTCCACTGTCTTGGCGCAGTGCTCGGATGTGAGTCGATGCCATCCCCACGCTTACGGTACATGTGTGTCGTGTGGCTGGAGGATGCAGTCAGATAACATTTCTGCTCTCCATCTTGGACATTCCTGTTCGTCGGTGGAGGAAATTCTAGTGCTGGAATGCATATCCCAGCTCTAGAATTTCAACCTAGAATTTTGGGTAGGGAATGCATTTTCCATACCGAGAGAATAGCAGCAGATAGGTCTTGATTACGCCTCGCTTCACATTAGGTGGTTGACATGACATGCCCCAGATTCTTCATCTTCTATGTCCTCGACCTGTCCTGGCCTGGCACTTCTTCGCCGTGCAGAACTTCAGTCACTGCATCTACCGTCACATAGACGGCTGACCGTATGAGGCTCGAGTTCTGAACTTCAGCATAATAGGTGAGGACCGGAGTGATTAAAGCTTCGATCTTTTCTTATCGGCTCGATGATCTAGAGTCATCACCATCTAAAAGTTTTTATATTCACGTTAACTGGCGAAATTGTGAGTATCTTCTTGAGAGGGAAGTAAAACAACTCGGACTCGACGTCTTTTAGAAGATTGACCTTCGACTTCTGAGGAGTTCAATGTTGATTGGGCTCATTCACTTCAGGAAATCATCATTCTCTTAACTTTCGTAGCATGGGTGGGGACTGACTGGCTGACTCGCTGGCTGGCCAGTCGACTGATGTCGACCATCTTTGAGCGCCCGAAGGCTGAGCTAAGCTGAGGCTTCTCTCGTCCATCTGCAGGACAATAATGGTGATGAACATACTTCAAGGTACGTATTATTATGTTATATGCCGCTCAAAACACGCATGCGTGAATCTAGGACTCTAATGAGCAATAAATGATTCGACTTCACGAGGATTGTTTGGCCAGATTTATGTCCCGTTTGCAGTGGTGGGAAATGGAAACAGTCGCAGGCAGGAAGGGGAGCATGACAAAAGATTTACTTCAGATATTAAATCGATAGAAGACAAGGAATGATCTCACAAAACATCACTTTTCATAATATGACAGATACACTCGTGCTGCTACCATGGACGGCTCATGAAGTGGCAGACAAAAAATGATCAGCACTGCTATTCCTTTCCAAACATCGTTGTCATACATTGCAAAGAGCAGCTTATAGGCCAACCCAATACGATCGCCCATTCACGTTGTGAACCGGAGATACCGAAGGCGCCGTCACAGCCCATTCGTACCATACCTGATGGAACACCAACCAACAACACTCCATCAGCGACAAGCAACACTAGCCGCATCACAGCTCTTTCTTCATTGATAAATTCTTGACCACAGTCCACAAACTGCTTACCTTCGTTGGTCCAACGCATCGCCAAAAATGGAGTTCCAAAACCGAACCGGCTGGAATGTAGATTGGTTTGCGTAGTGGGAAAAAAATTGCAAACCTGCAATCGGGTGCTCAAGTTAGTGATTGAAAGTTCAAGTCTTGTAAGTTTCCTGATCTAAGTCCCACGTTCGACGATACTGAGACGAACGTAAAGTCCCACGAGAGCAGAGTTTCCCGTCAATGAAGTAGTGCGTAATGATTTACCAGCTGAACATGTTGGGTGTTGCTGTTGATGGTTCGATTCCAAGATGAACATCTTTGTACAGGACAGCATCGAAATAACCTCCGAATCCTGCAAACAAAAAAGAAGATCTGAGCATATAGAGCAGATGGTTGGACCACTACAGGATCAAGAGTTTTAAAACACCGGAAGCTAATTGCTCCCGACTCTACTCACCGTGGACCAAAGCCGATCCAGTGTCGGGGGATAGTTCAAACTTCAACTTCACATAGCGTTTATTATCCATCAAAGTTTCAAGGTTAGGATGATCGAAAGTGAAGACCTGCACGGGACGAGAGCACGGCATTTGAGAAAGTGCAAAGTCAGATAATATCAGAAACCAGTCCGTATTTCAGATATCTGCTAGGTCGAGTCCAAAGTTTCTGATTGACATCAGATTGTGTACGAGTTACTTACTGGCTGAGGAGGCGCCAGCCGAGCCACACTATGAAACTTCACTACATATGCTGTCTCGAAATGTGCCAAATCAGCATATGACTTGACCTGTGTCAGCAATAACCAAGAATTAGTGATCTCAGGATGTACGATTCTCGAGCAGGAATGTAGACATCTTACTATTTTCTACGAGCAGCTTATATATCTGAAGATTTATCTGGATTTATATGGAGAACTAATCTTTACATGCAACACACAGAAAAGGCCAATGGACACAATGGAGCGTGCAAACACACATCATTGTGAAGTTTCGAAGCAGTGATTGGCCCGATGAAGCTCGTGTATCTGCAAAGATCAATATACAACGTCACTTGAAACTTGCACAGAGAAAATAAATGGAGATCTCATGCTAGTCGAGGAGGACGACAAAGAAGCCTTGTGCTATAAAACAGACTTTATCGTCCAAGCATTACTAAACTTTCTTCCTGAGGTGTAATGGAATGACCATCCAGCAGAAATTGGAATAAGGCCTTCGTGCGATATTGTTGACTTACGAGCTTGGGATCGAAATACCATCCTTCTTCAAAAATCTCTGTGCTCCGTCAAGACACTCCGGGGAGAGCTCGTTATCTCCAAACGAGCCCAAGAGCTCACTAACCTGAAGACAGACCATCGTCTTGAGATTCGTTCTTAAGCATCAAACTCAAAGGTACTAGTATTGCTCGTCCTCAGCAAACTAGCAGGTAAACAAGCAATCTACTGAATGATCCAAGCAGTGGGCTAATACCATCTGTTGAAGGTTGTGTAACGTCTCGAGGCTACCAAATTCAAGATGAAAAGATGATTGCAGTACTATCTTCAGAGCACCGTCTGATTTGAGTTTCAAATCAGCATGATTGACAAAGTTTAAGGATAATATAGGTAAGTGCCAGATCTCCAGGCTATGTTCATCGACCTTCAATTGGGCATAAATGACAGATCAATGATTAAAAAAAATAACTGCTCTCGTATGGATCCTAAACCTCAACTCGTTTCGCCTCGTCAGTCGTCTCGATAAGGGGGGCCAAACGTATGACTTTGCTAATGAGAAGGTACCTTACCAGAATATCGGCTTGCTCAGGTGCATTCCACCGACGCATGTCGCAAGATATTACAGTTACAACATCCTCCCAACCCTCCAATTTGATGAGGCTCTGGAAACACAAAAAACCATAATGGTTCAACGTAGACGACATCAGCTACCTTCTCTGACTTCGGACGAGCCACAAGAGCCTAAGGACTCTGGGGCTAAGTACGGAAAGTTGTTACCATACAGATGATTGTTTTTAATGAACTGAAATGAACACTCTCAGCCAGAAAACGTTAGCAAGGAGTAAATCTCCTTCTATAGATAGTGATTAGTGATATGTGTGAGTGAGAGATTGCACTGAAGAAGTTCATTAAATTGACAGAAGGCATGAAACATACATGTAACGTGACGACAGCGTTTGGATTCTTTTCAACAGCGTATACGCGTAACTTCCTGCCTGTTTCTTCAGCAGCCTGTTGGACACAAACACACGGTCTTTCTGTTACGCTTCGGCTTTATCTTAAGGTCTATCTCAAATGAGGCACACGTATGAAAACCATCGCAGGATAATAAGTCTTCGTTCACAAGGATTAAAACTTCAGTTTAGACTTCATCATTACCTGCAAAGAAGCTCGTACAAGTGGCCCACGGCCAGCTCCGACCACCATAAGCACCTGATATGCCTCAAACTGATAATAAGTAACTGCATTCTTGGATAGCTTTACTGACAACAAGTTTCTGCGGCACTAAGGAGCCGAAGGCCTCAATAAACACAACTATAAGACCATAACAAAGTAGGACGCAGGGAATACAGCAGTGCAGTTGAAGCTGGCCACTTGCTTACCGTTGTGGTTGTGGCGACCTTTCTATCGGGAACTCGATCAAGTAATGCTGCGCGTACCGCCTTTTGATACTGCAATCGTTAACATTTATGAATTTAATATTCGTTTCCCATGGCGATCGGTCGTCAAGTGCTCGGTAAGATTTCAAGAGTACTCCGTCCACCACTAGGTTCAGCTTCGAACGCAAGGATTGCTCATAATCACGCAGAATTTACGAATAAAATCTATTGCCTTGAGAGAAAACTGTGGGCAAGACACTACAGAAGATTGGCAAAACACTGGACTTTCGAGAGATGGGTGCAAATTTTACAAATGACTACCTACAGGTAATCTGAAGTTTACCTGACTGTACTTGGTAGAGTCCTTTTCAAATGTCTCGTAAGTTTGAGCTTCTAGATTGTCCATTAAGGGCTGAATATCATTGGAAACAAACGAAGAGTCAAGAACTTCTGCTCGAGTAGCATCATCACGTGATATAAAAACAGAACACCATTGTTGATGCTCCAGCTAAATACAAAATACACATCAAAATCCAGATAGTTGACCAATTGTTACCTGGAGAGGGGCTTGTAAAAAGTCTCTGTAGCCCATCTGTATCGAAAGCAAGGTCAAACTATAAGCTGGGGAAAGAACGATGTTAGCCTCGAAGAATGCGAAAGTCTACGTCAAGTTATGCATCAATGCGGCCTAGATGCTCGAAGGAATATATCTACTGGCTTGACAGAAGCATGTGTGTAAAGTGTCCACATCCTTCAATTCTATATTCCTCGACAGTAAGAGGATTTACTTCAAAACGTTCTTGCTCAGTTGGCGGGTCCATCTTCCGGTACAGATGCGACACGTACTCCAAATAGGATTTTAAAGGGTGCTTGGCGTGATAAACATCTGCAAAGGAATGGTGTCCGAAGTCAGACAGATTTTTCGAACAAAAAAGCTTTCACGTTTAACGTCAACATAAAATAACTATCTTCAAAGGTATTTGCTGATAGTCGTAGCGGCCAGCCTTGTTCGGGACGTCCTCTACTGGTATTCCTCAACCGCATATGGAGGAATGAACGAGGACATTGATAACGAGGAAAATTCTATCATCGTCAAATTCTTAGTCGCAGGTTCTTTATGTGATGAGTCTGTAACCACTACCTTCTGCACCATTTGAGTTGGCGTCCGTCGAAGGTGGTGGGGGCTCGTCAACTTGATGCAGGCAATCGCCTGAAATGACTATCTGAGACAATGCAACCAAGCTTAGTTTTTGAGTGTACTACAATTTACAACAGCACGACGTAATTCATTCAGGTTGGTCGAGGACCTTAGCACATCAACATACAACAACCAAAAGAAATCATCAATTCTCAAATCCTTATCCGATGCACACGAAAGATTACAAAGATAATCCAAGCTTACTTGCACATTGTGAGTAAATAGCGTTGTTATAAGATTTTGGTGTTGCTTAGAGAGACAAGGGTATCCACGCTTATTTGTCAAAAAAGCCTGCAAATTGAATAAAAACATCAAAAAACTGGTCATAGCAAACCTTCACCTCCAATTTATGCACAGTTATAAAAGACTTCCTCGCAGCAATTTCCAAGGAAAATTTTCGAGTAATAGACGAAAGTAGAAACGACATTGGCTACGAACTTACGCTGGTGTGGAGAATTGCAGCCCTTAGAGGCTCTCCTATCCACCTCTTGATTGCATTGGGCGCTGGTAGTTCAGCTCTGTTGAACATATTTAATGAATAACCGCGCGATTAGTTCATGGTAGATGCCATAAGCAAAAGTGAATGAACGGAAACTAAAATGATATTAAGATCATGGAAAATCCCAAGAAAAATAACTCTACTCATCAACATCTGCCTGTCAAAGCTTGGTGGCCTTGGATTCGACGCACAGGCTCAGCTGCGCAGAAGTTATAGAATGGGGACAAAAAAAAGGTACGATGAGATGAGGAGGGAGATCTACTTAAAAGTAAAGACGGTCTCTCAGCAGTACTCTACCCCCATAAATGTAAAACTTAGGAGCTTCCGAGTGGCGACCGAGAACCCTTCACTAGCTCATTTAAAGTTTGTGATCCCGCAACACTCCCACAAAAGAGAAAATCTCTCATACTACAAAGCAATGCGAGACTTACGTAATATCGAGGGCAACGGACAGCTGACTATGATGCTCACAAAGCGTGCGGAACATATTCCACCACTCCCATGTGTCATTCTTGAACCGCCCTGTGATTTCATCTCTTTCCTGAACAGACGAGAAAGTCAATTCGACATTCTACTCTCGTCCTTCTCTCGGTACACAAGGATATTTCATGATAACTCCGGACAACCCGCCCACCCTGTTGAAGCAAACGAGCAGAGAGGGTTTACCAGGAAAAGCAAATCCTCATTCTCGGTTCCTTGTGCGGCTTCCATTGCCGGGCTGACGAGAGGTATTCGCAACCATAGCTGCAGGTGTGACGACATGTCAAGAGAAGACTCAGTTAGCGCTTCTATTGTCTCAACAGCTGAGTTCGACTGTAAAAGGACATGACTGAGCGAATGATGTCACGAAATGGATGTAGGATGTAAATGAAGTATCCAGGACTGCCTTTGATTCACGAACGGAAATGAGGAATAAAACTAAGTAGAAGATGAATATCTATGGTGACACCAACTTTTCCGGCCAAGAAATGCAATTTAAAGGCTCCAAAATGTAACGATCTCAGGGTGAGAAGCCTAGCTAACATGCACAAAACTATGAGATATTTCTAGAAGCTGTTGACTAATGATCTTCCAAATTTCATCGGTAAGATCGAACAACTTGGGTCAATAAAGCTGCTCCGATCATTCAGATAATGACCTGACTTGGATCATTCATTTTACTGGATAATAATAATAATGTTGATATTCTATAAAAGAAGGCGGCATTCCTCAACCCAACTTTAAGACTTTCAAGGGGAAACTTGGAGTTCAGAATGTCTTTTGTATACATATATATATATACGACTTCTTCCGCAAATCTTCGTGAAAATCGAGAACAATCGTATTTACTGCGAGGCAATTAAGTTGGATCATGTCAATGATACGATACCTGCATGTTTGAAAGTCCTTGCAGAACCTGGTTGACACATCGGGCATAATTTCCGCAACTCAAGGGTCTGGGAGTCGGTAAGAGGCAAGCCTGGAACCCATGGTCGACATCAAACTCGGTTAAATTCGCTGCATGTTTCCGATAGAATTTCATTTCTTACCGAAAAATCTATTATTGTCTTCCACACAGCAATCATGACATTCCACATTCAAGCCCATATCTCATATCCATTTCTGTACAAAAATGGTCGAGAGCAGCATGTCAACCTTCAGGGATACGACGACCTTATTACACGGCCTGCCTTCCTTCCTGCTTTCCATTCGTTTGGTATTATATATCAACCAAGTTCAGGTTATACGTGAGGCCTATTTGTTCGTTAATGTGAAAAACGGATGACGATGATGACTTTCGATGAAAACTGCGAGACACCGAAGTACATTTTCGAGCTGGGCACTAGCAACTTTGTGACAAGTCGTCGAATATTACCTGCAATGAAAGATGCGATGCCCATCCGGCTTCTTGTTTTAATGTGGTCTCGGAGTCTGACCTCATTAATGCATCAGGGGAGTCCAGGTCCAGCCAAGTACTAATTTTGCCTGCAAAATCGATCTCAATTAATTAGAAGAAGCTCTTCTTTCCTTCCTGGTGGAACACTGGTAAGCCCAGGAACATATAGGGGCATATACATTTCGAATGAATAAAAATCTCCTCACGAGACTCGCTTATTCACGTGAATCTCCCTCGTCTCTTCCCGGGCCGTTGATGGCTCAACATCTTCTACAATTGTTCTTTCGTCTGGTTTCCTCTTTTGTTTCGTCAGCGTTCAAAACATCTGCTAGTTATTCCGGAAGTCTCGGGCTTGATTCCATTCGCCGTCTCTGTCTCGAAGGAACGAAACCAACACTCGCTTGCTCCAATGGTAGGATGAAGACTAAATACTTTTGACAAATTACAAACAAGCTCCAGCTGAATGGATTAACTCGAGGGTAGAAAATGCGCCCAATGATGCGGAGGGTTGGACAGAGAGCACACTCCACCAAATCTCTGGGTTGGTTCACCAAAAAGGCGACTGAATTTCGAAAGAGCTGCGACAGATAAGAGAGACGCACCGACAATGTGACTGTTCCATTGTGAAGGGCTGAGAACCAAATCCGACCCCGAAAATGGTGGCACGATGGCAGAGCCTTCCGCGTCTTGCTGGGCTTTGCTGGGCCTGTACACAGGATCAGTCTGCCCAAGGAAGAGGAGAACATACGTGAGCACAAAATCGTCACACGCAAACCACCTGCTCCGAAACAACCCAACAAAATTCTACTCGGCATGCCTCGTGGCGATCGACGTCTCATGAATTCTTCAGCTCCAAAGCACCGAAAATTCCAGGTCCAGAAAGCGTACCAGCGGGGCGACGATAAAGTCGAAAGAACCGCCCAACGCAAAGGACAAGGATTGTTGTATATCACTGGAAAAGGCGGCTTCCGCGCCACAATATCTAGCCTCGCCATTATCCCCTTGCCTTTGCCCCAGCGGCATTTTTCAAACCCCGCAAAACCCAAACTCTCGAAATCCCAATCCTCGCACAGAAAACCGACGACACCCGAATGCTTCCCTCCCACTCCGTCAGCGAACTCAGCAGCAGCTGCGGGGCTGCACTTCTACTCACTCACAATCTCTCGGCTCTCAGAGCAAATCCGAACTCTCCGCTATCGAAAACTACTCGATGTCGTCGCTCTCTCCGTCGAGAGTCCACGTTTCCTTCGCACGACGTGGTCGATGAATGGATGGTCGATCATTCATTCATTCAAGCAAACTCTGGCGTCTGTAGCTTAAACCCCACCACTGTCAGTCTGTCTGTCTGTCTGTCAGCAACCGATTACGATGCAACTCTCGGAAACCCGTCTAGAACCCTAGAGCGCGAGCTCCGACTCACTTTTTTGGCCGGAGCTTTTATTTGACAAATGGAAGAGCTCCGAGAAGTTTGAGGGTTCCCTTTTTCCCTTCCCTTCCTTCAAGAGCAGGAAAGGAAAAGCTTGTGCCTGCCCCTCTCTTCTTCTTCTTCCCCGAGCTTCGAATCCGCGAGTTGCTTTTCCGACACCTAAAGTACAACCCTAACCCTAATGGAGCGAACACCAAATCTCTTCGGTGCGTGCGAGTCTATTCTTCGATCGTATGTCTCGTTCGCTCGCGGTTGATTGGAGATGGAGGTTGATGGAATTTGATGGAGTTTGCCGTGAGCGTTTTGTGAGTCGATTTTGATTCTCACCAGTTTGGAGAATTTTTCCGAGGTTCGATCGAACCATCGCCCTTCGAATCGGCGAAGGGGCTGTGAGGATTGTCGCATGCGGACAGAGGGTGTCGTCAGCCGCTCGGGTTTGGGGTTTTGTTCGTTCTAAATCGGGTGCGTTTCTGGGACTGATTCTGGGATTCTGTGTCGTCCTGTTTGCCCATGGGCCTCGAGCATCTTCCTTCACGTTTCGTGCCTTGCGCCGGTTCGGCAGATTGCAAGTGAGCCCGTGGACATTACTGCTTCTGCTGCTGCAGCTGCTGCTTAAGATGACGCCTGGAGGGCGAGAGGGGAGACGGTCGTTGCGAAGTGCGCTCGAAGTCCGAGTGCAGATCGTACCAGAGCTGGCCAAGTGGATGCCTACCATCGGCATCCACTGGTGGGACCCCGTGAATGAAAAGATGCTCACCCATTTTCAGCACAGTGAGTTCCCTCGTAAGCATATGCTCGTGGAGAAGAGATCAATTTGACAGGCAAACAATCCACCGTCCCCAATTGCAATTCTCTGATGCGATCCATCGCAGCTCCCCCCTGATAGATCGCATTCACAGCTCAATCGTAATCCAGTTCTCGATCTCAATAGTTTTGGGTTCAATACGTGGACAGGAATTCTGAACCCAAAACTATTGAGATCGAAGAAAGGAATTTGGGGATTGGCTCCGAGATTCTAATCCTAGAGGTCACCGCGCTGTGACGCCGGCCCGGCCAATTAATTAGCGAGTCCGTTTTCTTCGAAGTAACGAGAATTGAATCAGCTTGGTCTGACCGGTGCTAAGGGAAAATGTGTAACCTTGGCTTCCTCGAAATTAGAATCTATCGAGGGACATGATTGACGTTCGTCTTGACCCGATAAGAGCTGGTCACAGCAGTGCAGTTATTTTCATGGTTTCTCAATCACCGACCTCTGTGATACATTCGTAGTGATGAAGCTTATGGATTTATCACGAATTTATCGACACATTATTACTCCTGAGTGAGTTGAGGACTAGAACCATCTCGCCGTGACAAATCTTGAAGATCCAATCGAGTGCGAATTGAAAGTAGCAGATTGTAGTGGCAAGTTGCCTGTTTCAGAGGAGACGAGATGAAAGGAGGAAGACTTCCGTGACAGCATTCTGGATAAAAACCTGTCTCTGCTTCTACACCCGAAAAAAGGACTGGTGCAGCTATTTCGCTGCTTCGCTAAAGACGTCCCTCATCGTTTGCAAATCGATGCACTCGCTCTACGTACGTCGAACCCACCTTGATTCAGAGGACCAGTCGAGTTGTTTCAAACACAAGTCTCCTACAGAGCTACAACCATTTCCAGTCGGTAAGCCAGGGCGTTCATCAGGAACTTGGAGTTGTTAAGAAAAGCCTGCACTCTGCGCTCACTCCTGTAAAATTCACACATCTGTGAAGTTGCATGTCATCATACTCATACACATGCCACGAGGAAGAACAGCTGCCACAGAGAGCTTACAAGGCAGTCGCCACGACAAATGACAATCGGCCATCTGAGATAATTCCTAATCGATCCTCAAGCGATCAGGCCTCCACGTTGCATTGCCAAGTCAGTGAGTTAGTATGATCCGGCTACAAATCCCGTGAAGGTCTACAACTTCAACATGGGCTCGGCAGGCAACAGGAATGGCAATCTCGGAACACAATTCCAAAACCCATCAGGAACAGAGGACTTCGTGACTATGATAGGATTGCCGACGTGCACATCATGATGACCGAGTACAACCATAATTCCAAATAGAGATTCCACCACGCCGATTCAGACGACAAGTTCATCTTTGCCACCCGTCCACATTACACTAACGACGACACTTTGACACATGCTTGAAAGTCAGGGAATCTGACACTATGAAGTCTAACCCAGATCCTCAAATCGAATCCAAGAAAAAATGTGCATGCGACTGGACTTCACTACAGCAACTAGTGCAAACGAACAACGTGGCAGCTAGATTGATTGAACCTCTACGATGATGATGATCTACGAGAGGGTAAAGTTCGAACCCACACTGAAGAAGTTGACAGCGATCACAGCAGGCCAGATGCAAACATTTGAAACTTCACGAGGGGCTGAGCCAGCAGAATTTGCACTGGAGAAATCTCAGTATATGCGCGTGTCAAAACGATTCCCTTGAGATGGAAAAACAGTTTTATTAGTCAAAGATTGGGCCTTGTTCCAATCCTTTCCTGTGTCGATGAACGTTCGCTTCGGCACCACCCTAAAAAGCTGATTCTCAGCCTCTGCGTGTGGTGATGCAGGCTGGAATCGCCTAGCCCTAATCACTGCTTATCTCACAATCCGGTCGCCATCCAGCGCATTTTCAGAATTGGCAGCTGCAACAGCTGAACAACCGTCGAAGAAAACCTAATCCATGCCTTGAAAGTCGAAAAGCTGCTCAGCCGTAAGAGGATCCCTGACTCGTACCTTCGGAAATACAGGACGAACAGCTCCAGAATCTCGAGATCCCTAAAATCATAGCTGAAAGACATAAGAGAGTAATACAGAGAAGGCCAAGCCTACTTGCTCTCGGCCTTCTTGCTCCCGCCGGTGGCAGCCTTGTACCCACCATAGAAAAGCAAACCCCACCCGGCGAGCGACACGAACACGAAGTGCTCTTCCTTCCACTTGGAGGGGCTGGTGGGATCCTCCCAGATGTTCACTCTCACGGGCCCGTGCCCGTGATCAGCAGCGAAAGTGCGAGTCGCCGAGAAATTCGAGGGCTTAGCTGCGGGCAGAAGCGCGGAGGATCGAGCTGCTTGCAGCAGACGAGATCCCGCTCGTGCTCCCGCGCCCATCGTCATGATTCCTGGCTGCTAGCTGCTCCAATTTCCGCTCCTCTCCTCTCGCTCTCTCACGAGATTGATCGATCGATCGATCGACCGAAGGGCGAATTGCGTGCGATCGCTGATGCAGTGAACGAGTCCTCGGCTCTTCTTGTTCGACGAATGACGACTCTAAGCTCGCAGGCCCGTCCTCTTCCCCTCCCCCCTCCCGCGCCATACGCTCCGTCGCGTCGCGATCTCCGGTGCGAGCGGCGGGCCTGCCGCGCTTCCCCAACCCGACGTCGCGACGGTCTCCGAGTATATTCCAAATTCTCCGCGCCGCCACCGAACACGCAGCTTGAGGTCGACTGGAATAAGTCCCGACGGAGAAATGTGCGACTCGAGGGCCTGTACAGTACAGTACAGTACACTGACCGACCCTGGACGGAAGACCACTCGGACGAAGCACAACTGCGTTACTGCCCTACGCAGTCACCTGTATGACGTCGATTGATGACATCCCTAACGTGGTTGCCTTTGTGTGGTACTGACTCTCTTTCGAATAGCCGGACGCAGTGTATGGAGATTGATTACATTCCGTTGATTATTAGTGGATCTGGAGCGCATTAATCGAGAATTATAGTTACTGGCGAACACAAATTGAATTTTCCCCACAAACATTGTCCACAATCAATATGGGTATTGATCAAAATAACATGTCCGTCTCATGCACTTAAGTGGTGAGTGGTCTCGTGGAGTAGTACGAGACCACATGCGTCTGTGTGGCATTTCATTCCCAAGAATTGGTACCTCGCGTCTCGTTGCTGAAAAGCCTTGGTCAATTCTTCGCTGCGAGTTGTGAGATATATATATAACTCTTGGTTCCAACAGATTGTCATTTTTTAGTGATTTATATTACCCTACAATTTGTTCGAACCCCTTAAAGTAAAGAAGCAAAACCTCGATGTATCCTTGCAGTTAAGGGGAGCAAATTGGTAGGAAGGCCGCATCAAGCTTTAACCTATAATTGAATATAATACAATAATGTAGATATCATGAGCTCCCAAAGCCAAACGTCGTAATAACTTCAGGGTATCCAAGTTAACAAAGAAAAATAGGAATTTTCTTTTAAAGATGAATTTTCAAATTTTCAAATTTTATTCTCAAAAATGTGTGGAAAAAATTTATATTAATCATTACATATGCCACTAATAAGTAGATTGTAGAAAATATAGATGACTAATTATGAAACATCCATAGTTTAGTTTTTATAGGATCTTACATGAAGATCAATTCAAATTTAGAGTTTTTTCATTCACACCAACGAAATATTTATACATCCTGAAAAATGAAACAATTTGTAAAATTTGTTTGTTGTCCAAGGTATCATATCTACAAACAAGGAGTCTAACAAAGTAACAAAACCACGTATTTGAATATAATCATATTCTAGAATCAATATAATGCACAGAGCTTTATCAGGAAATCATCCCACTAACACTCCAAGTCCAAAGTCGATTCTATATCGATGAAACTAAGGGAGAAACTCAAAGACTCATCGAGTATAAATCGTCCTCTTACATTCATCAAACCATCGAAGGAAGACTTCGACGGGGGATCTACGAGAAGAAGCTGGGTACGTACAAATAAGCGCCCATGGACGACATGTCGTGACAGTCGTGCGTCCATCGCCGTCGTCAGTCGTCGTCGATGGCAAGACGTTCCGTCAGGGAAGAGGCGCAGGAGCAGCAGCAGCGGAATCCCGCGGCAAACAGTGTCCCGCTCGAGGACAGTCCAGTTCATGAGAGCAGCTGCTGGCGCTCGTCGCGGCATTTCTCGAGGTCTCGGAGCTCGGAGCTCGGTGTGATTTCGCTCATGGATCGAGGCGAGTGGACGCGATTTGGATGAGCGATGGGGAGAATGGGATTTGGTGAGCATCTGTCCAGGGCCGTCATGAGGAAGTTCGCGCTACGCCAGCTGACGCGAAGGCACCAGAATTGCGAGCGCCATCTCCAGCAGCAGCAGCAGGCGAGGAGAGGAGCGAGGAGTGGCGATGGTGCGGGCGGAACTTCACCAGCAGCAGCAGCAGCAGACGCGACGAGGGTGTTGCCGTCTCGCTATTTCACTTCGGTAGCGTCGAATTCTTCAGCTGCAGCAGTTCTTGAGAGAGTTGCGCTCGGGAATTTCTTCTGTCTCTCTCCCCGCCGTCCTTGGGAGGAGGCTGCACGAGCGCGCCGAGGCATCCACCAGTTGTCGAAATTGGAGATTGAGGATTCTCGTGCGGGAGAGATCTACGATCACATTTTCGACCACAAAACCCTGAGCCCCGAGCCTCGGGGATTGCAGAGCGCGTCGAGCAGCCGGGGCGAGAGGCGGCGAGATGAGAATTTCGGTGCTCCCCCGTCGCAGAGCCTCGAGTCGGAAGTGGAGAAGCTGTGCGCTCTGGTCGGAGAGAAGGGCTGGAGCTGTCTGAAGGAGAGGAGCATCGAGCTGACGAGAATCAAGCTCCGAACCTCGCACGTCATCAAAGTGCTGGAGCGCGTCTCGGACCCAGCCTTAGCTCTGGGGTTCTTCGAGTGGTGCGCGCAGTGCGGCCTCAAACACAACACGTCCTCGTACACTGCCCTAATCGGCGTTCTGGGCCGGGCCCAAATGCTGGACGAGGTGGAGCGATTGCTGGCAGACATGGAGAGGCAGAGAATCCCGAGGACGAGGCTCCTGATTTCCACCTTGGTCAATGTGTATGGCATGGCCGGAAAGGTGGAGCAGGCTCTGCAGTTTTTGACTCAGCATCAGGGCCCTCCGAATGTCCAGAGCTACAATGCTCTGATGAGAACCCTGGGGAATGCTGGCCTCCCGGAGCAGGCCCTCGTGGTGTACGAGAAATTGATGGAATCCGGCTGTGCCCCGGACTCGTACACATTCGGGAACCTGATCAGCGCTTTCGGCAGGGCGGGGAATGTGCGCGAGGCTTGCAGGATTTTCAACGACATGAAGCGGCAGGCATTTCAGCCGAACGTCGTGGTCTATAGTGCCCTGATCAATGGGCTCTGCAAAGCCGGCAAAGTGGACCAGGCCAGCCAGTACTTCGACGAGATGAAGGCGCAAGGATGCCCTCCCAACACGATTACCTACAACACGCTGCTGGACGGGCTCGGAAAGGCAGGCAGGATCGAGGAGGCTCTGAAGCTGTTCGGAGAAATGGTGGAAGCAGGGCATGCCGATGATGTGTCCTACCGGACGACTCTGGGTTTATACGGGGCGGCAGGGCTCATCGATCAGGCTTACAAGGTTTTGAGATTGATGCGCGAGTCGGGCTCTGCCCCTGATGCCCGCACTTACAATATTCTCATCGGCAGTTTCGCCAAGGCAGGCAAGATCGAGGAAGCTCAGACGATTTTCAGAAAGATGAAGGGATGGAATTGCTTTCCCAACTCCGCCACCTACAGCATTTTGATTCAGATGCTCGTGAAAGCAGGCGTTTGGAGCGAAGCTCAGAGACTTTTCCAGGAGATGCGATCGCACAACCTGATCGCCGATGCCTTCACCTACAATATTTTCATCGAGGCCAGCTGCAAGCTGGGCGATGTGGCCGGAGCCTGTGACCTTCTTCGCGAGATGCTGAAGGTCGGGTGCCTGCCGAACGTGAGGACATGCAACATTTTGCTCGAAGCATTCTGCAAAAGTGATGCCAAAGACAAGGCTCGGGAACTTTTTGAGCACATGGGAGATTGGGGCTGCTCACCGGATTTGGCTTCTTACACCATAGTCCTCGAAGGGCTCAGCAGATGGGGTCACCTGGATGAAGCCTTGCAACTGTTTGCCGAGATTCGAGAGAAGTGTGTTCCGAGTTTCTCCGTATACGCTTCGCTTCTTCATGGACTCGGCGAGGCTGGCAGAGTAGACGATGCTTGGACTCTGTTCCACGACATGCAAGCTGTTGGCCGTCCTTCCAGCGAGGGCACTTACAACACTCTAGTTTGTACTTTGAGCAAAGCAGGCAGACTGAACGAAGCCTTCAACCTCGTAGACGAGATGAGAAGGAACGGCTGCTTTCCGAATGCAAACGCTTACAATCTCTTGATCCGTGGTCTGTGCCAAATCGGTCGTCTCCAGGATTGTTTGAAGGTTCTGGAGGAGATGGAGGACAGAAGTTGTAGACCAGACAGTTTGACTTATAACACTCTCATTGACAGCTTCGTTCAGGCAGGCGATGTGGAAGAGGCGTTCAAGCTATTCCAAGGGATGTCAGGGAGGAAGTTGATCATTCGGGAGGTTACTTGTGATAACCTCTCCAGGTGCCTTGCTGATGCTGGCAGAAGCGAAGAAGCCGAGCAAGTCCTTGCATCAAAAGAAAGACCCCCAAGATGAGTTCCCTGGCAGGCCTTCCTATTGCAAAAACATGCATCACACGTCGGTGACTCAAAGAAGTTGCTCCAGGATGAAAGAGTAAGAGGTACTTGGCATTCCAAATCCGATGGTTCCACTAATGATCTCGCAGAAGTGAAGTGCACGGATGTCAAAAATAGCTACGTTTCAGGTATTCTCAGCTACTTATCGTAAAGTACACTAGGAAGTATTCGAGGTTCTAATGTACGACATTAGAATAGCTGAGTCTCCAGTAAAATGGAATTGAAGTGCAACCTGCCTAGAAAAGTGAAGAGTAGGTTATGAGGTCAAGGACACAATTATGTTGATGCATTCACTGTTATCTGGCAGGTTTCATATCCTACATGTGGACCGTAAAGGTTCTACCACAACGCACGGTAGACTCAACTGGAAAGGTCTGCTTGTCCGATTTTCTTCCTGCCTATCGCGGGAACGGGCGCGGACTTCAGTCTACCCATCGCGTCACAAGAGTGTACTCACATGAAAGCGAATCATACCATACAAGATGTAATTAGGCACCAATTGTAGAATCATCCGTTTCGACAGACAAATCGCTGTTTCACACGAGAATGACTAAGTGGTCTGGGAAGAGCTCTTGTTCCATGTATTGCTCGGTTGGCTTCAGACTCAAGTTGTGTATCTCCGAGTAGTTGAAAACCACTCTAGAACATTCATGTTTATGAGGCCATTCATTCGAATCGGCATGCTCTCAAAACCGGGAAATCAATAAAAGTGTACAGCATAAGTTGCAGTCAAAGTGGACACAATAAGTCACACTGCAGCTTGTGATCGTTGAGATAACGCTTCGTGATAACTCATCTTTTTAACCTACATTCTTTGCGTTACAGGGAAAAAAGGTTCTAAGTAGCCTGCAAGAACTTTCTCTAACACTTCGACTCCAACTCAAGGTTGTAGTAATTGATGCTTGTCTCTCCCGCCATCTCGATGCTGACCGGCCCTCGCATGGTAATTTGTTCTTTCTCGCTGCTTCTTTCGTAGTCTTGAAGAACTGAAGATCTTATTTGCACTGGAGTTCATCAGCTCATGCCGAGTACAGTCGTCATCGATAATCCCGTATGCATGTCTGGCCTGTACCTAATCGCTAAGTTTTGACTCCTCGTTGCAACAAGCGAGACTGTTACTAAAGCCCCGCTCGCTGCAGTTCCTCTTTCGCTGCTTCGTGATCCACCTTTTCAACCTCAAAGTTGATGGGCTCTGGTGGAGAATCCCCCTGCACGAATAGTCTCACTAATCAATTAGCCCATCCCGACTGCGACATTGTGAAGATCAGATGTAAAATGAGTTCCCAGTCCAGTAATCACAAGTCTCCATAGATCATGTAACATACATGAAACAAGAGAAACCTCTGATGATGATATTGTAATCACTATTAATCTTGTACTTACAATCTCGTAGCTATCGTATGGTAGGACAGAGGGGTCGAATCGCCAACCATAGACACCTTGACTGTAAACGAAACATCTGCACAAACGACGTAAAACTTTAAAAAATGCTCACTGCTCGTTTTTGTGTACAAAGAACACATAACACAACAATCCTCACGTTTTCAGAATCTACAGCTCGTACATCGCTCTCTGAGGTGTCGCAACAGTTTAATTTTCATCATCGTCAGAAGAACACTTACTTTCCCATCCCTGCATCCTGTGCAAGCTGAGCAGCCCAAGTAGCACGTCGGGATGTCCGACCTGTGAACAATCCAAGTGAGTCCTCCTTACTTGTAATCTTCATGAGAGGTTAAGCAAGATGCACTGAAACATGAGTTGCTTGACAGCGAGTAGGAAACAAGATCGTACATTGGAATATGACAGTGTCGTCATCAGAAAACTTCGGAAAATGGTAGGTTTTCTCCCATAATCCGCTTTCCATGTTCAGAGCCTTAGGGAGTTCCTCCACTGCAAGAGAGACCACGAGGTTAAGCATAGAACTGTGTTGAGAACTTGGGGTACAGAATGAGTGACAATATCAGTTCTCTGTTCTCCACGAGCGTCCCAGTCTTGTCCAGGGAAATTACCAGGAACATGATGTGATCCTCTGATGTGACCGAATAAAGCTCTCTCATCGTGCCTTCGCACATCTATTAAGTACACAGGGTTTGTCCCTGCTTCAGAAGCTTCTCCACCTCGGTCATTCTTCTGCAATAGAACTGCAACAGCATCCCTGAATGCCACATGAGGATGTGTCAGAATACATGAACACTTTCAAGCGAACATCTCAATATCCTCTCCAGCTTCGTAAGCCTACGAACTTTTATCTTTAGATGAAGTCTTTTGGATATTATATTTGATAATCCGAAGCAACTTCGTTCGAAACCATAAACAATGATTTGGGCAATCCAAATCTGAACTTTCAGGTACTAAACGAGTGGTACATTCAGCACTGAAATAATCACATTGACTCAGGAACCATCTAAGTACAATATTCTGGACGTGAACCACCACATTTGTTCTTAAATGCAAAATTCCTCTCCATAGTCGCCATTATGGATCGACTCCTTCGGCATGGCCTGCCCTGGCACCCCATCATCTGTAGACTTCAGTAGAGTGGCTTCTGGTCCAGGCTAAGGTACTGAGCACTTCTTAGGAAATTTTTCCTAAGACTAGTGTCTTCAGCATCTGATTAGATTGTAACTGAAAGAAAAGTCCGGAAAACTTTGATTTTCTGCCCGAAATTAGTCTACTGACGACACATAGCCCGGACCAGACAAAACCACAAGATAAGAAACAACCAGCAAGCAAAGACGCCCGGATACAACTACTTCGAAAGTCCACCCAACATGGAAAGACTGGTGGACTCCTACTGTTAGGTTTTGTATGTCATGCGCATACTGGCACTTGTGACCTGCTCAGAAACTTGAGCGGCTTGTCTTCGGAACTGCTCACATCTTCTCCGTAGGCCTCTAATCCCCCATTCAGCACACAACACCTGCACGGTCAAATGAGGATAACAGAGGACACTCGTAAGGCCAAGAATTACTTCAATTCCCACAAATTCCACTTATCTCTCTTCAGCAGCAATGAATTTAACAACAATCAAACGAGCAGAAGACGCAACAGCTGAACTGTCTGGTCTTCACATTCTAAACTTCATGAGTGTGAGGCAAACGCGAAACACAGGTTACCCATTGAATCCGAGATCTGCTGCAGCACTGGCGGCCTTCTGTGCTCGGCGTCCCTTGGTGGAGAGAAATACAATGATGTCACTCCTGCCAGGCTTTTTTATTGATGGAAACCGGTTCTCCCATTCTGCTTCTGACAACTGCAGTGCAGCTTTTACCTCTCCCTCTGCACGACAAGCAGAACCGTGCTGTGGTCAGCCTAAAATCCCCATCCTCAATGAGATGACTATCTGGAAGATTACGCGGCAGCTGCAGCAGCAGCGCCATGAAATTCACTCAGAACATCGAACGCCGGAGCACATTTTACGTAAGAATAAAAAAAACATTTCGCACGCTCGTAGTTTCTGAACGTACTGGACTTGGCTTGGAATTGACTTCGGACAGTTCTGCACATCCTTCAGCATCTTCGGACATTAAGAAAACCCACTAATTCATATTTACCGAGAAAGAAGAGAATTTCTCGCGCATAGCCCGGGGTATTACCTGGAATACTGACAGCCGTTTCGAAAGGAGACGGAGCATCTCTGACAGCACCAGGAAAGCGCACATCGACGAGCAAATGAGGCACGGGGTCGAGCTCGACCATTTTCTTCACGGCGACGGGGCTCAACATCGAGCAACCCGGCGGATCCACGGCCCTGAAAGGCAATTCCACAGCCCTCTGGGCGGCGTCGGCCCTTTGCCGCCTCTTGGCCAAAACGGATCTCAGTTGCCGAACTCCCCAGGCGACGAGCGCAATCTGCAGCAGCACCGTCAAAGATCCTCCGACATTCGCCACTCGCAGTCTGCCCCTCTTGGGCGACTCCTCTATACTATCGTCATCACTGCCTCCTCCTCCTCCTCCTCCTCCTGCTCCTGCTCCCGACCTCGAATTCTCCTGCGAGGACGACGAATTGCCAAGATCGAGCTCCCCGATCAGGCTCCCGTCCTCCATGGCCACCTGGTGTGTTCTTGCGGGAGGAAAGACAGCCACCCGCCCCTCGCCCCTCGCACATCCAACCAAGAGATACGAGCTTCGACCCTCTCTCGTGCCCTTCCTTTCCTTCGTTCCTCCGTTCCTTCGTCCCTTTCCCCTTTCCACCAAGAAATTGCTCTTGTTCCCCCCGCAGGCTTCTTCCCCGCTCCCCTCCTCCACACTCTGACGGTCTGCTCGCTGTTTCCTCGTCCAGCTCAGCTCGGACCTTCCGATTCGTCCTACGTGTAGCGGCGCTCGCGTCCGTGGCCTTTTCGGGCTCATGTGGCAACCCTGCGACTCGCAAGGGCCTCTCTGGGATGCGTACGTGGCGTGCGTCCGTCATTCGGGGTTCCTCGCTTCGTCTGCGCTGCCCGAGCTGCCAACCGCGCGGTGCTGGCTTAGCGCCGTTCCATTGGACCCATGGATTTCTTGTCTTAAAAGTGCCCTCTTTTGTCGCCTTCTGCCACCGTGGATGCCACACCTTCCTCATGCCTACTCATGGTTGGTCATTTCTGCTATTTCTCCACCGTGCTATATGACTATGACTGCGATTTTGGCCACCTAGATTTCATTTCGTTTCTTTTCTTCTTAGCAATACCAGCATTTGGAAAATACTGCACAAGGTTTGACTCTTGCCATCTCAATATCATTTCATGCATCGTTTTATCCACCATCAATGTTAATAATGTAGATTTAAAATCATTGCATTTTTTTTGTAAGGATGGGAAGACACGGATTATTATGCAGAGCAGTGGGCATGCTTTGACGCTTCGAAAATACTCGGTAAACGGAATAAAATTTATTGAAGTCATGTACAAAGTCGCATATCCTTCCCTTATTCCTGTGTAAGCATGCTCCGAGTACTGAGGGCCAACCACATGCAGTTTTATCTTACCTGTGAACAGCATTCACTCCCATCCGCATGAACTACACGTACCTCCGTTTTTATTTAGTGATATAATCTTTAATGTTATTATATATATTTACTACTTTATCTTACATTTTAAATTGTTTTCTCGGATAATTTTACTCTGGGAATTTTCAATTCAGATTTTTTTCAAATATATTTAACCTCCTTGGAAGAACCTACAAATTTTAAACATATATATAAAAACATTGGCAATGTGAAGTGTTATTAATGTCAAAACATGTGATGATACTTCTCTAACTATGAAATGAAATCATCACCAGTTAAACAAACGCTTCCTTATAGAAATTGTTTCTCACTTTTGGAAATTTTTAAGAAACCAAAGACTCGGATCTAACGCGTTTCCGTGATTTTGAAACTTCATTTCCTTAATTTATACAGTCATCTCACTACTCTCTTCTTGCTGAAAGCAAATAAATTGAAATATCATTTCAACATAACATTTATCTCTACGATGATTATAATGTTTTTCCTTTTCAAAATCACAAATTTTTCCATGTATACTGAAATGATCTTCGACGTATCACTTCAAGGCAAATTTCTTCCAAATATAAAGATCATTTCCTAGGAATTCTTAAACTATTTCGTATACATCCCGAACTCATATTTCTAAAAATAAATATGTTGTCATTTTTATTATCCTATATAATTACAATCTTCCATTTCTACAGTTTTTGTACATCTACAAAGCATAATGAAATATAGTTTTTCAACAATTCCGAAAAAAAAACCCTTTTAACAATCAATCGAGCTATGAATGATAGAGCAATTAAATAAGAATGTTCAATTTTCATTTACACTTACACTTGAATGATAACTTTCAAATGTATTTTATTTTTATTCAATGTATTATCCAATCAATCAAAATCATCATTTGTATTTATCGAAACATATATGAAATTTTAGATTCATTGAATATTATTTTATAAAGCATTTTACCCTTTCAATATGTTTAATGAGATATTTTGAAATACAAAAATTTTAAACGATTTTTTTTTCAATATAGTATTGTCCCAACAATATTTGTTCTTACTTGTTCAAACATAGATCAACTTTATTAGTGTGTCGACAAAACAACATCGATGTCCAGTAAGATAAACAATCAAATGAATATTATATATTTTTATTTTATGTGAATGCATTCATATAATAGAAGTTGCAAGTTTATATTTTTTTCCATTTTCATAAATTTTTATATATCTATATATAAAAGTAGATAATGATTAAGTATTCAATTATTTTGTAAATCTACAATTATCCTATCGAAAACATCTTTCATATAGTACGTTGGATCAATTTGTATGACAAATATCTAGCGCACGTTATTCTGAAAAATAGGTGCAGATTTTAAAATAAATTAAAATAAATTAAAATTTATCAATAAGATATGTTATAAATATAGTTTGTCAAAAACATATCTCTGATGAAAGTTGATGAAAATGATAATAAAAATATAAATATAGGAGATGAAAAAAGGCAACATCAGTATATTGAAACGATTACTATAAAGAACATGTTTAGAAAAACGAAATTTTTTGAAACATAAAATGTTGATATAATATCAGTGAAATATAATGTTTAAGAAGAACGTAATAAAAAGTCAAATATTCTTTTTTTAAGAGCCAATTTTTTACTTAGTAAAAAAACAAAATCTAGGGTTCTCTTCACTGTTGTCAAGCATGTAATTTGTGTGCAGAAGGCATGAAAGTATTATGAATTTTAAAATTTTGATTATACATCCATAAAATTCTCAGTTTATTTTTAAATAAGTCGAAATTTCAATTCTGTTAAATTAATAAACCTAAAAAAAGCTCATATCGATGAAAATGTATCTAAGATTTTATCTTTTATTATTCATTACATTCATAGCAAGTGCAGCAACTCTATTGAAAATTCAAGATTATAAAATTGGAAATTTAGATCAGCTGCTAATCCTAATGATAGAAAAATATGCAATAAATTAGAAAGTAGGAAATTTTAGTATCATCATTCATGATGAAACAAGTTGTTTTTATTCTTTATACCCAAAACAATCAAATCAAAATATCAAAATATTTTCATCTACAGAAAAAATCTTCTACATGAGTTTGATACATTTGAATAATATGTATGATTATTTATTTATTTTTAATTTATTATTATAAATATAGAAATATAAATTGTGAATACATATGAATCAGATATTGTGTTATCAACGTAATCAATACACTCAGAGATGCAGAAAAGTAGTATGAAATATTCCTATAGAATATGAAAGATAACTTACTTCAGATAAAATTATATATTTTGTTAAAAAATTGCATATGAGTTGTTGTGCATTGAATTATTCATATACCAGTAATGTATAAAAAAACCAATCGAATTTAAAATAAAATAAGTCAATAGATTGTATAAAATTTGAGAAATTTTTCCACAATTTCTTCTGTAATTATCTTTCGTTTTGCATCGTGATAACACTTCTAATTTCATTTTCAGAACAAATCAATCAGAGTTCTAAAATGCATATATGTCTTTTCTATGACTCAAAATTCATTAAATATGAATGACAACATTTTCTATATTCAAAAAAGTAGTTTTGAATAATCTGAATACATGGATTAAAATAAATCCCTTCATTCAGACAAGACAAATATATTTTATTTTGGTTTCCAAAAACTACTTTTTTGGAAACAGATTTTCATCTTTAAGATTTGCAATTGTTTGAACATGATGAACGTATTTTTCTATTATAAATAAAACAAGAAATTACACTTCAAAAAAATTATTCCTTATATCTAATATTTTAGATTTATTTGAAATGTTCATTTAATTACACTTTGTATGTTAAAAAACAAATATTGATGAAAATATTCATTACAAGTTAAATTTCTGAAATTTTTGAATATATTTAATAATATTTCGTCAAATATATGAATTTTTTTATTTCACATCAGATTTCTTTTAGACTATCTGCAAATACTATTTAACCCCAAATAAAAATAAAACTTAAAAAATATGTACGCCCAAGTTGAAAATAAGAAGTTAAGTAATATTCACTCAAAACTCACAATATACAAAATAATTGTGAGGTTAAGGTAAATGATATTTATTATAATAAAAAATAATAAGTTTGCATACTTTCAATAATAATAAATAATAAACTCATCTTTTTTGTAGCAATGATATTAAATAGCCCAGTTTTATTGTGATTTAATAATTTAAAAGATAAATGATAGCAATTCTAATCAAAAGTAGTTTTATGTTTATTAGTCATAAATCAATATCAAAATCAAAACATAGAATAATTAAGAATTTGTATTCATCATTAGTCTTTATAAACAGAATTTTGTATATTTGATTATATATGTTAAAAAACTTTTTATTTCAACATGCAGTACATTTAATACATGAATGGATCCATTTCTTATCTCGTGACATCTTTATGCATTGATAGACTACCTTAGAACAAAATATTTGGGGTTTTCTGTAATAAATATGCATTTTACTTCGCTTACTTTTTACTTTGAAAATAGTTCTGTATCTATGGACAATAATAAATCCTTAATAATTTATACATTTAATTTAACAAGATTTAGTAAAAGAATATTCAGGTCTTAAATTATTTTATTTTCTATCGACTGATATTATATATTCGTAGCGGGACTTTGGACAAAATAGCTACTGTTATTAAGTAAAAACTGTCATGTTCTTTAACTGTTTCCGTAATGCATTTTCAAAACATGATTATTTTTAAAAAAGAAAATATGTTAAGGTAAGGTCTTTAATATTGATATATTGACTTACGAGGACTATATGTTATACTATGAAACCTAATTTTTTTTAAAAGCGATAATTCAGGAAATAAATAGCAGCATATGAAGGTTAAATATAACAAAAGAATTAAAACTTAGTATTTTTTGTAATATTTAATTTAATAATGAATTCTGCTGTACTCTGCTTCAGGGCAAAAACCGTTACTACGAATCTCAAGCTGCGGCCCGTTCGCAAGGTATTAGCTCTCATTAGCTTTCTCCCTCTCTTCCCGTTCGTTTCCGCAAGCCTTGAAGGACCCCGCCCGCGAAGCAGGCCATGTCCTTTTATAAACCTTACTTGTACTATCTGCGAAGGAAAGCATCGCATTTTAATTCTCGGTCTTTCGCTGTGTAAGGGAAGCAAAGAGGAAACGAGGAGCGAGGGGAAAGGTCGGAGCGAAAGTCCTCCGGGGAAGGAAAAGCGAGGAGAACGGGGGAGAATTAGGGTTTGCGGAGTTAGGGTTGCGGCGAAGGGACTGACGGGGGAGGGGAGGGTGTATTGAAGAAACGAACATTGCTCGATTTCCTTTCTCTTTGGCTCGTCTCTGCGATCGCAGCAGCGAAGCAGCAGCAGCAGCAACAGGTAAAATCGAGATCGAGACCGGAGTCCGCACGAAGAATCTGCAGCGATGGCGGCCGCAGCGAGGCCTCTCGTGAGTATCCAGGCCCTGGATGGCGAAAGCGGAGGCGCATCCACGACTCTGCCCAGCGTTTTGCTGGCGCCGATCCGCAAGGACATCGTCGAGTTCGTGCACGCCAACATCGCCAAGAACAAGAGGCAGCCCTACGCCGTGAGCAAGAAGGCCGGGCACCAGACCTCGGCCGAGTCATGGGGAACTGGGCGAGCTGTGTCGCGAATTCCCAGGGTTCCCGGTGGTGGTACTCACAGGGCAGGACAGGGAGCGTTCGGAAACATGTGTCGTGGAGGTCGCATGTTCGCGCCCACCAAAATTTGGCGCAAATGGCACCGCAAGGTGAACATCAACCAAAAGAGGTACGCTGTCTGCTCGGCCCTGGCCGCCTCGGCCATCCCCGCCTTGTTGCTCGCCCGCGGTCACAAAATTGAGAAGGTTCCCGAGGTGCCTTTGGTCCTGAGTGACACCGTCGAGAGCATCGAGAAGACGTCCGCCGCCGTCAAGATTTTGAAGAAGATTGGCGCTATGGATGACATTGAGAAGGTGAAGAAAAGCCACAACATCCGCGCAGGTAAAGGTAAAATGAGGAACAGGAGGTACATTTCCCGCAGGGGACCTTTGGTTGTTTATGGAACCGAGGGAGCTAAGTTAGTGAAGGCATTCAGGAACATTCCCGGTGTGGAGGTCGCCTCGGTAGATCGCCTTAACATTCTGCAGCTGGCACCCGGAGGTCACCTTGGCCGATTCATCATCTGGACCAAGTCTGCTTTTGAGAAGCTGGACTCGATTTTCGGATCGTTCGAAGAGAAGTCCGCCGTGAAGAAGGGTTACCGTCTCCCCCGCTCCATGATGGGTAACTCTGACTTGGCCAGAATTATCAACTCTGACGAAATCCAGAGCATCGTGCGACCCAAGAAGACCGAAATGAAGAGGCGCGTGCTGAAGAAGAACCCTCTAAAGAACCTTGGTGCCATGTTGAAGCTCAACCCATACGCCAAGACCGCCCGCAGAATGGAGCTCATCGCCCAGGAGCAGCGCGTAAAGGCCAAGGCTGACAAGCTGAAGGTGAAGCGAGCTACACCACAGGTGCGTTTCTACCTTCTTCCTCCCCTACTAGTTTACGTCGCATATTGCTGTCACTTTTCTGATGCGAAGTGCCCTTAATTTCCCGAACTAGGGTTTTGGAATGTTGATGGAAATCTCGTCTGTGCAGGTCGAGGGTGCCACCAAGGAGTCGGTGAAGAAGTCTGGGGAGGCTTGGTATCAAACTATGATTTCTGACAGTGACTACACAGAGTTCGAGAATTTCACCAAGTGGCTCGGAGTTTCACAATGAGGTTATACACGCATTGTCAGTTGCAAAAGTGTCATGTAAAATGGGGTATAGATTCACCCAGAGCCCGAAGCGCTTTTGTTGTACTAGAAGACAGTGCATATAAAGGAATTTTGGGAAACATTTTTGACCTGCTGGGCCTGACTTGAATTTCGATTGCAAAATTTTGTTCTGTGAAGCAGTGCAATATGGTGGGTGTCTTGGCTGCAACTTCGTGTCATCGTGTAGATTTGCTCCCTTACCTGAGGCGGATGTTTCCTTCCTCCCGGAAACGGGTGTGGCGCACGTGCTACAGTAGAGTAGGTCGATTTTTCTGAAAGGATTCTTACCCCGATCCGGGCATGGACCTGGACAAGATAGATAATTAGGGATGAGGGTCTGAACGAGCGGTTCCTGTTCGTGGATACGGACCCCGCACTGTCCATTTTGGTTTGTCAGCCCAAGTATCCCGAACACGTGACATTTAGTAAGGTCTCTGTAGCGTGTTGGCGGCTTACTTTAGAGGCGGCAGCAGGTGTTCAGTTTTAACACTAACCAGATGATCCACAACTCCGGAGGCAAGAGAATTATGTGAACACCCTTGTCCATTGCAATCTATGAGAACAATTGTGATACTCTCCACATTGTGTCTGAACCACGAGATTGCACCGGTTTTCAATAGTGTGGCAGTCTTGACATTTATTATTGTACAGTTGCCCTCGAATTTGATTTCAATGCTAGTCATCAAAGCACGTCATCCTTTGTACACCTTGCCATGAGAAGGAAAATTAGGTTAGTTGCATTTGTCTTAACTCTCAGGAAACTCAGCTGCAAGAAACCGAGCGGAGGAGAGTTTGATAGTGTGGTTGTATCTTCGTAGCGTGCCGGCGTATCGCTTACTTCAAATTATTCGGATGTGAAGTTGACTCAGTAGTTCGGGTTTACCTGATACACACTAGACTGGGTTGGGGAAAGTATAAATTATTCACTTCTCCAACAGGAGTCTTCTCGCGTAACCGGAGGTATAACTCAAGTCTTCATAAACTTGAAGAGGTCTTAAATAAATGGAAAACGAAGACAGTGAACAATGACATGAAGAAAAGGTGAAGAATCTCATATCGACAGAAAGCTAAGTTTACAGCTTTAACTACTCACCGAGTAGGGCAAATTGTCTCTACATTGACGAAGAAGAAAAGTACAAGTAGACTGGGAAATGTCGAATGTAATCCCAAATGAAGAAAAATATAATATCACCTAACTGTGATGTCGTTCAATCATCCTCTTGAACATCAATGAAAGCAAGGTTAAATGTAACAATCTGATTTTCAGAAAATGTTGTGCAGCCAGAGCACGATGAGATGTGATTGAGAGCAATCCGAGGTAGGCTGCTAACAAGCCCTCGAGAGTTTACTGTAGGATGAAAGTACTGCCGATAAAGAGCATATCTGCGTCAGCCAGCATATTTCCGATACATGTGTTTGTTTCAAAACATACAAATACTGAAGTAAATACATATATATCTAAATACGTGTTCTCCGTCCGTTAAACTGGTCTCACCCCGGCTGACTTCCGGTCCTGCAAAGCCCGGTGAATGCGGCTGGAAGTGTCACAGGACAGGGAGAACGATGCCCGTGGAAGCGGAATACAACAGCTCATCACTTCAAGTTGAGAGAGCTGTGGTCTAATTTGATCGGTCTCCAGTCTTGACCATGATGGCGACTCCTGCATCTCGATCGAAGGCCCTTGCCCTTTATCGGAAGCTGCTACGAACGGCAAGAGCGTGGCCTGGCCCTGCGGCTGAGAAGCAGTACATTCTGGTACGGGACTAATCCGCTTGAATTTGCAATGGGTTCTTGCTTGATTGCACTTGAAGCGGTCGAAAGCCTTTCAATTCGACTCAGTGAAGTTCGTCTCAATGCCCGGGATGTGCTGTAGAGGAAGGGAAAGATTTTTGCTCATCCTTGATCGTGTGAATTCGAAGCCTCGTTATTTATGTGGTTGGATTGCATGGCATCCTGATTGCGCATGACTAGAAATTCCGTCTACGATTTATATGCCAGCAGTGCCACACATGATCGCAGTGCCTTCTAGGGTATGCTTCCTACGATCGGATGGCGCATTGCACCTTCCAATTCTAGGACGGCTTGCCTTCACCTCGCGAGACTGCTCTTGGCAGTATCCTCGTTTCCGTTCAATTCCAATCCGTGTTTGTACATACTGGTGCTTTGAGCAAATCGATTTTTCTGGTCTCGGCAGAATTGATATGCGATTGGAACTTCTCTGTTGCAGTAGATCGATGGGCCCAAATCCGTATTCGGAGAAATAGTAGGTTTTGTGAAATTCTCAGCGACCTTTGTCCCTCGTCATGATGCTCTATCTTGCCATTTCTATTGATCGATGGCAAGTAATTGACATATGAAAGCAATTTACTTTTAAGAAAGATAATTGCAACTGTAAGAAACGGTGCATTTATTTTTGGACTGTATCTCATAAGATTGGGCTGTACATCAACAAGTCGTCTAGAGCTGGACAACTTCTCATATGAGCAGAACATCGTTCTTAGTTTCCACCCAGTCAATTGTGGGCGTTTTCCTCATTACACTTTGTTAGCAGACGGAGAGTCGCAATCAATTCGAGGCAAATCGGCACTTGGCGCAACCTGAGGAAATTGACAGGAAGGTACGCTTTCGATATTTTTAATTTGTTACCCTGGAAGCAGCAGGTCAGCTGTCTACAAAGCAATCTAATAGGGTTTTTGAAGAGCATAAATCTCACTCGTTTGCTCTGTGTGAGGAAAATATAAAATGGTCATTTTCCTCGACCCTCTCTGTTTTAATCTCTCGGTCACTCACTTCCCTTTGTCAGATATTTGAAGGAGAGTCGAGGCACGACATTGCTTGGCACTACAAAATCCCATATCCACGGCTTCACAACTTCTCCGCTGGAACGTTCACCGAGAAACCTTCAAGGATAGCTGGCCCAAGCTTTGAGGTGCTCCCTTGGAAGTCTCAAGTAGCTGTCAAACACTGAATGTAGTATGTTCGCTTGGTTCGGTTTGTTTGGCAGGTCTTGCAGCGCTAATGTCCATCTCATCCATGACCCCGTCTTGTTTTTAAGAGCAGATATGAAGTGAGAGCATTACTCTGTCTTTGAAGAGGTCAGACTGAAGCCCTTACACACAACGATCATTGTTGAGATTTTTACAAAGTTTATTGTCCATCTTCCAGATTCCTTCTGATGAGATGGGTACTGTGGACGACAAACCGAGCAAACCATCTGGACTGAAAGGAAGGTTGCCAAGTTCCAGTCTGACCATGAGGAGTTGAACAACGAGTATAGCAATTGATACATTAAGCTGCAACCAGTGCATTTTGGCCGAACGAAGGGTTCCCCATTGGTTGGGGATGTTTGTTCTTAGGGATAATCACGTTGTGTGCTTATTGAACAGGCTTAGTCAGCCATTGGACTGTCATGTCATGTACATATACTCACTGGTCTAAAAGATAGAGCGGTAAGTTCAAACACATGGTTGAGCTAAAGCAAATTTTGGTCCCCATATTGTTGCGAGATATCACCTGGGAGTGCTTCTCATTGCTCTTAGTGGGGCTTATAGCCGGGCCTTGGCAAGCTGCTCAGGTGTAACGAGGTGTCTATGGTTAGAGGATGCGTTGAATTGGAGAACTGATGTAATCCTGAAGAAGTTTGATAAGACTGGATATCTCGGTGGTCTGTTGGAGCTATTTTCGGGATTGTAAAGCTATATAGTGGGGCGAGATTGATGATGCACAGAAAGACCCTCAGTGCAAACTTGTCATTTCATCTTGTCGGTAAAATCTGAAGGTCGCTCTCTTCCTGTTACTGTTTTCATTGGTTGTTGAAGATTCACTTATTGCAGTTGTTATTTTCTTCTTCTTCTGCTCAGTTGCTAGAGTTCTTCCGCTGCTGAATAAGCTACGAAAGGATGAAAATATCCTTGGCGATTGAGCGGCATTGTTAATTGCCTGTTATTTTGCAAAATCAGTACTCAGCATCGACCACATGACGTTGACGGCTAGAAAGTTCTGTGATCATTTACAACCTGAATTGTGGGTGGAAGGCGAGGATGGAAACTGAAATAACGAAGCCAATATATCTGAACATACTCTAAATCGAACCACCTGGCTATACACGATACGCATACTTCTCGTTGGTTTATTATATGGAGACAACTGATTGATGTATACTGGACGAACCCGGGGCACTTCAGTGCCCTGGTCACAGGAGAGGACATTTGGGCACAGTAAACGTTCAGAACGTGGTTTTCTTTTCTGTCGGAAATGTTGTTACTCCAAAGGTAGCTCAATGTAACCCTGAAGCAAGTAGTTCTGGCCCGCTGATGGAAGGAAACACTGAGTCCACGCCTATGGATCCGTGTAGATCTAGTTCAGAGTGTGCATGGTCTTATGTTGTCGATTAATTCTTGGATCTCATGAACCCCAGTTCCTGGTGCTTACTTCATCCATAGAAAGCCACCACACCTATGCAATCTTGCCTCCCCAGAGTGAAGTCTACAAGGCTTCAAGAAGCTACAAACAATCACTTTGCGGAGCTATGCATTCCAACCTGTTGTAGGGAGGTACTTGTAATAGAATCTCCATGACGTGAACTGGTCTTAGGATGACAAATTAACAGCAGAGTCAAAAAAAATAGACGGAGCTTTCGAACCTACGGTTAGCTTTGCGAATGCGGAACAACATATGCACAACCTGGGAAAGGTTCTGAAAGCATTTGTTGTCTGGGTATACTATGTAGTGTGGTTCTCATCCACTAAGGATTCAGAATGAATTTGAAAACTGTCCGCGTTTTCCATGAGTCTGTTCAGATGCAGGTCGATGGGTAGCAAGCAATATGTTACATGGCACAAGGAAGTGCAAAACATGGGTACGAGGTTTTGATGGAAGACCCAGCCAAGCGGCAGGAAGAGGATGAGACTTGGTGATAGAGGGTGTGTATGTTGGTGAAGCGGTGGTTGCACAACACCAGACAGGTCCTACGCACATTCAAGTCCCGAGCGTCCATCTGCTGAGCTATAGACCAAGCTTTGAGAGAGACATCATGAAAAGAATCGCACTCATGAGAGTTAAAGCGCAATCTCGATCTACCACGTTCGTACATGGTCGCTGGCAGTCTTCTACGTGATGAGTGAGTGAGTGAGTTGGTAAGCATTGGCCTCATACTTGGATTTTGTGGGTATTTGCACATTAGAAAATGCTGAAAATGGATCAGATTGTAACTCATTGCACGCTATGGTCTCATAGCACTCATTTTTTCCACAGAGCAGATTAAAAATGTTTCATGAGAACTCCATTCCCGATCATGCGCACGCTTGCTGCTTCTGCTGCTGCTGCTCCAGGCGGAGCATTGATTCTTATGTTCGAGAACCTCAGACGAGCACGCCACCTTCCCTCGAATCCTTTCATGGCAAGGCTACTGGGCCCCATAATTTCATGATCGTCATTCAGCAGAAGTGTCTGTGTCGCTGCAATTTATTCAATTCCATCACGCTGCGATGAGCTCACGATTTTAACTCATCTGCCATGGAGCACATGAGCCGTGAGTCGTACGACCCCGACTTTCAGCCAGCATGTGGGTTTCTACTTTCTACAGCGACACGAGAAGAGCACGAGGCCATTTTGCTGCTCTCCGAAAGAGGAAGACGTGCGTCCTCTTGGCTCTGCGTGACTGAGCGATTGTCAGCTGCTGTCCTCTAAATTGTAGACTATATAAGGAGAAAAGTGCGCTAGAGCACACATCCTGGATGCAAAACTGAAAGAGGGTGTGGCGTTGACAGAGAGTGTGACGCGGGATGGCCAAGAGAGAGATGTAGTCTATAAGAGAGTGTGATCCGGGACGGGAGTTTGAGAGAGTGTGTGATTTGAGACAGAGTGGGAGTTTGAGAGAGTGTGTGATCCGAGACAGAGTGTGGTCCAAGACGAGAGTTTGAGAGAGAGCGTGATCCGAGACAGAGTGGGAGTTTGAGAGAGTGTGATATGAGACAGAGTGAGAGTTTGAGAAAGTGTGATCCGAGACAAAGGGGGAGTTTGAGAGAGTGTGATCTGAGACAGAGTGAGAATTTGAGAAAAAGTGTGATCCGAGACAGAGTGAGAGTTTGAGAAAGTGTGATCCGAGACAGAGTGTGAAAGAGAGTGTGGTCCGGGATGGGAGTTTAAAAGAGAGTGTGATCCGAGACAGAATGAGAGTTTGAGAGAGAGGGGGATCCAAGAAATAGTGTGAGAGAGAGTTTGGTCCGGTAGGGGAGTTTTAGAGAGAGTGTGATCAAAGTCAGAGTGAGAGTGGGTGTGATCCGAGACAGTCTGAGAGAGAGTGTGATCCAAGAGAGAGTATAATCTAAGACGACCCAGAGAGAGTTGTGAAATTTGAGAGAGAGAGTGTGATCCAAAACGGTTGAGGAAGTTTGAAAGAGAATGTGGCGCAGAACAGCTGAGAGAGACGGCCGAGGAAGTTTGAGAGTGAGTACGGTGCGGGACGGCCAAGAGAGATCTGTGGAGTTTGAGAAAGTGTGATTTGAGACAATCGAGAGAGAGATGTGGAATCTGAGAGAAAGTGAGATTTGAGCCAATCAAGAAAGCTGCGAAACTGTGAATTTGAGATTGCCAAAAGATTTGAGAAAAACTGTTTAAGAAATTGAGAGATTGAAAACTTCCAAAAAAAGATGTGAGTCGCGTTTGACTGAATCCCACAAAATAAGAAGATGCCAAGATTGAGCTATTCTCCGTAATATGACCTTATATATGAGAACATAGGATGGCTTCTGTTTTATATATGAACTAGTCTTTTTCATAAATATAAGACACAAGCATCACATCTCCTTAAAATGAGATCTAGAATATACTAAAAAAATTACTTCAAAAGACAGAAAATTCTTGTATTTTGCTTGTATTCATCGTAGTCAATTTTTCTCTTCTACTTACATATTTTCTTTCTTTATTTAAATATCGGAGAACAATTTCAATTTCAAAAATGTGTTACTATTGTTATAAATTTTACTTTTGTACTTTTTTGAAAGAGAATCTCTCTGCATCTGTTGCAGTCTTGACCCCATATACTTTTTGCCTGATCATCTACCCGTCATGTTCGGGTGGCGTGAATTTGGAAATCTGATACTTTCGCCTGGATCATCTACACATCTTAGTCGGATGGCGTGAATTTGGAAATTTGAAGCAGAGTGCAAAAAATTTTCAACGCTCTGATGATGATGGCAGCTGCAGTGGCCCTATCCACCGCTGCTACTTCAACGAACTTTCCTCACTGGACGCATCCAAAGATATCATCCACAATGTTCCACACCTTGAAACTTTCCACATTAGCGTCCTCCACTCCTTGTTTCGTGTCTTCTAGTGTCAATATTCCCCACTGGCTCGCGAACACATGTTATGTCGCTTCCCTTCCCTCAGCTCCGGAAGTGTTTTGCGGCACTAGTACTTTGTCGTACCCATGCCCCAACCATAGAGTTTTATCTTATTTGCTTCCGTTTAACATTTCCCAGTCGTCTTGTGTCTCCCCACCTTCTCTTTGTTCCACATATTGATTCCCACAAAAAGAGCTCCATGAGCACTTCAACGAGCAAACCATGAGATTTCTGACTTCCTTCGACTAGTACTTCCCCTCTTCTCTCCAATTTAACTCAAGCCATTCTCTCCCCTTGTTTGATCTTTTGATGCATGTTGCCGCTCTATTTGCTTTGTTTGATGTAGCTTCTTCTCTTTGTCCAAAAGTACCCTTGTGTAATGTTAGATTCTAGCAAAAAGAATATTAATAATTTTGTATTGATAAAAAATTCAAGTTTTAGCTTTTTTTCTTCTGTTGTAGGTGTGATGACAAACAGATACCAGTATGGTACATAATGGTAAAGATTCCTTACCACGAGAACAAAAACAACTGCAGAGAGTCAAGTAGTGTCACAAGTTAACTATCTATTGAAGAGTTTTACTTCTGAGGAAAATGTCACTCCCAGAAGTTACTACACTTGCTACAGCCAAAGACAAACAATGCAAGGTGAACTCACATCCAAATCCTGAAATTGATCCAATAAGTCCATACAGAAGCCGCACACGACTCTGCAATTGATATTCAGGGAGTAATTTTTCAAGATTACACACTCAGTCGGCTGCACCGAGCTTCCAATGTTTAGATTTGCTTAAAGCCTGAGTTACACTATGCACCACTCAAAACATCCGAATTGGACTCTCTCTACTTCAGATGTGGTATCTTCGACAAACTAAAGCGAATAGCGCATGGTGACAAAACACACAACTCACAGATGCACACAAGAATGCAGACTAAGAACTGAGAAATTAACTGATGAAAAAACCCCCAAGGCTAGAGCCGCAGGCCCCTTTATTCACAACGAACATTTAGACGAATCATCCGCTCGACGCGAGCAACCAACAGGTGCGATCTCAGCCGGCGCGGCAATTACTACGTCCGTTGATCTTTTGTCTACTCCTATCCTACTCAAAACGGCTGAAATCTCTAACTCTAAATTTTTACTCGTCTCCTCTAACCCAGAAACAAAAGAACGAACTAATCTATCTAATTGTCAATGTACAACGGCTCCGTTGGCTCCCAAGTTCTTCAATTGGCGCTCCAACAAATCCAACTTCGTCCACTTCGTGGTTTGGATCTCCCATTTCACAAAACCGCGAAGACATCTCTCAACCCGGCCGCGCAAACCAAAATTCGTATGTTGTTCCAACTGCCGAACAATTGACTGTGTCGCTTCCACTGTCGCTTGCGACAAGCCCAACTACTCCTCAATCGCCGCCAATTGGGATCGCAAACGACTGCAATCTGC